CATGAGGGGGGGGGTACCATATATATGGATCTTTACACACACACGTACACGCACACTGCACATCATGGTCGTGGTGCATACCTACAGCATCTATACTATATGCGAGCACACATATACTTACCTCTACATATATATATATATATTTATGTATACACACATAAACACAGACAGTTAGATACTTGTTTTATTTTGTATTTATCACCGGCCTTTTCAACCAGATACTTGAATCTTCGGCACTTGTCTCGAGGCGGATACGCCCCACTTACCGAAGGTGAGTTGCCATGGCTTGCAGCTGGTAAAGAGGCCCAGGGAACTGCATTGCTCATCGTGGTAACAGTGGTAACAACACTGGTGGAAAGAGCAGTAGCAGCGGTGGCAGTAGAAGTAGAAGTAGCATCAGCAATAGGAGTAGCAGCGGCCGTGTCAGTAGTCGCAGTAGCAGCAGTGGACGAGGAGGAGTAGTGTTGGTCGTCGTTTTGGTAGCACTGTTATTATTAGTTGCAGTAGTAGTAGTAGTCGTCGTAGTAGTAGTAGTAGTAGTAGTAATAATTGTAATAATTGTATTCGTAGTATTGGCAGTAGAAGAAGAAATAGAGTGGCTGCAGTGCGCAGTGGCAGAGGCAGCGGGGGTGGCAGTATTGGTGCTTGCGACTGCTTGTGCTTGTTTTTGTCGTCGTCGTTGTCGTTATTGGACCCAAGATGCCAAAGCCACGGTGCAGGTGTGTCGTGCAAGACTCTGTGGCGATCGACGTGATTGCAAGCAATCCAGGCCATGTCGCTCGAACTCGAACGAATCAAATCGTGTTGCCTTGCCACAGAGATGTCCGCAACGAAAGGTGCCAATGCATTCAAGCAAGGAAGGCTTAGAGGGCGAGTTAAGACGGGCTTGCAACATCACAGAAGCAAGCAATCTTTGGCCTCGGCAGGGGCGTGCAGAGGGGGAGCGATACGAGAGGTTCGTGACACGCCAGGCACTGCTATTGATGCCGTGCTCGAGCGGCTCACCATGTCGGGCTTGCCGGAAGCCGCAGCTGGGCAGGCCCCAGAGCGGCAAAAGAGACAGGGAGAGAGAGAGCTATGAGAGAGCTATCAGAGCGGTCAGAGCTGCGGACTCCCCGTGCAGGTCACCAAAGCCCTGCTGACCCGGGCCAGGGATGGAGTGCAGAAGGACTCCCAGGCCGGCCTGAAGCGTGCCCGACAGCGCCAGCGCAGATGCGGAGAGCGGAGACATCTCAGAGAACGCTTTTTACAAGCGCAAAGATGCGCAGGTGAGCAGCGAGCTTGTGGAGAGCTCAGCCGCCAGCGAGAGCTCATCGTCCCAGCGTCCGAGTCTTGGAGCCCTGAGGTGGATCCCGCGCAGGGCGACGAAGCGTGCTTGGCCATGTCCTCAAAGTGCATTTAAAGTGCACGCAGCGAAGCTCGCGCTTAGAGCCTTGCTTTGCAGGTCCTGACGCTCTTGAACGACCAGATACCTGCGAGCAGCAGTATTTGTTCGGCCTTTGTCCGTTTGAAGGCGGTGTCGTAACAAAGTTCCGGAGGGAGCACACAGCGAAGCACGTGCTGCATCGCGGCCATCGGCTCTTCAGGTGGCGTTGCCCATGAACTTCGCGGCGAACACCCCTGTACGGACCCCAGAACACTGGGAAGGTGAGAATACTGCAGGCCGGTACCACCAGGAGCATGATGACCGTTCCGTCGCTCGTGGCTGCATCCACAGCCCTCCCCAGTCGGAAGACATGGAGCCACCATGCGCTGCACAAAGCAGTGCATGACGCCCTGCAAGGATAGTGTCATAGCTAGCCGACAGAGGCTGCATCATCACAAGGACCCACTTTGCAGAAACACAACTTCAGCTCAAACACTCACTGCACACAGAGAGTGGGAACATGTAAGCAAGCTGTGCACAAGCAAAGTACGGTCAAGCCGTCCGCATGCTAGGGCTCCGGACTTGTCAAGCCACTCTGCATGCCGACGCAAAGACACGTTGGTAAGTTACCGCAGGGGTTTTCAGAAGCTTAGCTTATGTGGAAGGGGCTCTGAACCCACGCTTGCCAGCAAAAGTCAAGAAAGCGCAGATATGCTTGTGAAAATGACTTTCAGGGACCATGTAGCCTTGAAACTCAGGGAGTCGCACGTTTTCTCTACACAGCTCCTGAATGTCATTCTCAGAGGCATGTCCGCACTGTCTTGATTTTTTCCGCCCAAGAGCTAGCAGAAGCCGATTTTCAAACAAAGTTGGCGGCGCCAGAACGAAATCAGCCTTCCCCCAACCTCACCCCCCACCCCCCTTCCCCAAGTAAAGTTAAGTAAAGTCCGAGAATCCACAGCGAAAGCCTCCAAACCGCAAAACCCGCACAAAAGCGTGCGGTAACTTACCTAGGTGTCAGGCTCTAAGGACCTTGTTCTTCAAGGCTTATGGCCCCAAAGACTAAGGGTTTTGGCTGTCTTGAAGATGTGGGTGGGGTTCACTTTGCAAGGTCATCCTTTCAGGATGTCAGGATCGTCTCTGGAATCCCTGCCTGCCCTTCTCGCTCCGGCGTTGGATTCCGTGTCACCGAGGGGCCTCCATCCCCGCATCCGCAGCAACCTCACCGTAATGCGGCGGACCTCCGGCCACATGCCGTTGCATTTTGCAGACACTTGCATGATCTCGTCAGCCCACACAGCGCGCATCTCGCGCCGAGAAGGTGATGATCAATACCGAGTCAATACCCAAGCATGTCCGTTTGCGGAGGACATTGGTGGTTGTTGCCAACCGTCATGATTTTTTTTGCCAGCAGCCTGTGATTCCTTGACACGTTGTGGACAACCGTTAACCGCTTAGGGAAGGATTTCTCTGTGTAATCCACCAAGGGCGCTTCACCCAACTGTTAAACAGCTCCGCCGTGTTCAGCTTTGGCCGTCGGCCTTCGGAATTGGGCCCACTGCATGGTAGACTGAAGCCTGAGGGTGCAAGGCCGATAAAGAAAACTCGAAGTGACTTTCGGATAGCGTTACACCGGCAAGCGCCGTTTGGTCGGAGTTTATACTCTTGCTGAGGTGAGATTCTTGATCGTGCTGGCGTGCCACAGGCCCTGCAGGGGCCATGGCGGTTCGGAGGTAGTTCCCTGTCTCACTTCGGATTGAAGGCAACGGCTTTCTGTAGAGACGGTGTCAGAGAATCACGCTAGCCCGCTAGCCTCTAAGCGTGCGCCAGTGACCGGGAGAATGACCTCACGGAGCTCAGCGAGAGCTTGGCGGCCCTTGCAGTCGACGAGGCAGAGAGAGAGAGGGAGGGGCCTTCAGCATGAAGCGCTCGGCTTCGTGACTTGCCAGGACCTGATCCTCAAGATGGCCCGGGCAAAGGACGCCTCCGCCTTCGTGGCGGCCTTCGATAGCAGACTGGGGGAGATCGTGCTGCCAGGGGCCTGGGGGGCCTGGCCCGCGCGGCGAAAGGGAGATTCTTCAGACAAACGGCGGCTTCGTGGTGTCTCCGTGTCCAAGGTTGCCCCACGCACACGTGCACTCTCGGCGGAACTTTGAAGATGACGTCCTGCTCTCCCCGAAGGCGCGCAAGCGGAGAAAGCGGAGAGGAGCGGGCGGGGGCCGCAGCAGCAGTCTCTTTCATCAACAGGGCGCGGTGCCGCAGTCACCGAAGTCGGTGCGGATGAAGCGACGGCCCTCCATGGACGAGGCGCGCCTTTTCGCTTCCGACTTCGCAGCTCTTACGAAGCTTGGCAATCGACAGCCTCATCTTGTCTCCATGTTCAGCCAGCCCACAGCCACCCCCCCTAGCATCAAAGCTCAAGCTACACAGCAAGTCAGTGGCAGAGGGACGGGGGAAGGCTGGGAAAACACTTCAGCTCACACTTTCTGGGCCCATGCTCGCTGTAGAAACGGCAGCCTTTCGGACGCTGCCTGCAGTCCTGCCCTCATCCTAAGCCCTGCTCTCGTCCCTACATGCTACACTCATTCACCGAAACCGCAAGAAAATCCCCTTGTAGAGGCAAGCTTCTTATGTACCATAAAGGCTTCCAGGACGAAAAATGACCTAATGGCGAATAGTGCCAAACAGACTCTACTATTGGCCTAGTGGATCTTCGACGTGTCCAGAAAACTCGTTTCGAGTCTATTAGGGGGGCCTTTTAATATGCAGTATTGGGAGTGGTCGCAGGCTTCTGCTTACAAGTTACGACCACTGCACCTCCGATGTCGCAAGGCTGGCAACGTCATCACCAGTGCTTGAGCCTCAGAGCTGTAAGGTCCGGGCCGTTCGACAGGCCACCCTCGTAGGCGACCGCTCCCAGGTAAAGAGCGATGTGGGCTTCGACCACATGCACAAGCACGGTCCGGGCGACGACACAGAAGAGCTGCCGTCGCTGCAAAAACACGTCTGGCGGGCCGTGGGTGTGCTGCAGCCGCGTGGCCGCAGCTCCGATAGTTGGACACCCTTTTCTCATTCTCCCACACGTTTATTTTCCTCGTACTTGTAAAGCCTGTTCGTCGAGATCTGCGTCTTTCGAGCGAACTACGTTTCTGTTACTTGCCAGTCTGTGCAAAGCCCTGAGGAAGTATGCGCTGCCGCTCGTCACTGGCGTGATCGTTGCCATGGTCTGGAAGAACACGGCCGAGGACTCGTACTGGACAGCTAGGGCCCGAGCTCTTTGCATCTCTGAAGGGAGAGGGCAGGAGAGGGCTGAAGAGGGAGAGGAGGGAGCTCGTTGTCCGGAGTTGATAGGGCTTTCGCATGAGGTGACGCATGATGCAATCATCCCGGGATGGCAAATTCTCGGCCACGACGTTCCGTCCTTGGATCCCTGAGCAAGAGGTTGCTACTAGTCGCACGCTGGCAAGGCGAGTTTGCACTTCCTGATCAACGACATTTTCATGTGCTTCTTCTTTGGCCTGGCCATCAAAGAGGTGACGGAGGCCGAGTAGAGCGTAGCATAGCATGGCGGAGCATGGCAGACGTAGCAGAGCGTGCCTGGTGGTGGGGGCCTACTTCCCAGGCACTTCTGCCGGGCGGCTCCTTGAGCCCGCTTCGACGGGCGACGAACCCATTGATGGCCACCCTCGGTGGCGTCTTGGGCCCGGTAGCCACCTACGCCGGAACCTCAGCAACAGAAGCAATAGCGACTTTAGGCAGGCGCGGTCCATGCTCACGTGAAGCTCTCAGGTGGTGTGCGTTCTCATCATGGACAGCCTGGGCTCCTTCAATGGCATGCAGTGCCAGCATCCTGCCAGTGATGTTGCAGGCCTCGGGCCCCACCAAAGAAAGGCATTGAACTTTGCTGCGGGCATAGCTCTGCCAGACGCCTCGCACCGGCTCCTTGCGGGCTCCGATGCAGAGGAGCGACGGGGTTACTGTCCCGAACAGTGGAAGACTGCAAGGGCCACGGCTGCCCTGCAGGTGCCAATGGTCATGGTAGACTGTACTCTCGCAGACATCATCAATGGCGCGGTTCTCAGGGCGCAGACCGGTCTTCGCCGGTCCCTCCTTTGGGCCTCGTGGCGGGGCCGAGTGCCTGAGGCTGGGGAGTTCCCACGGCCACGGACATCTCCCTGGCCTGGATGTTCCTCGTCACAGGACTGTAGCTTTCAAAGGGTCTGCGTTGCTTTGCAACTCTCTGTCTTTGCATCACATGGTGCTTGAGTAGTTCCGAGGTTTGCAATCTTGATCTTCGGTGCCGGCCACCCTGCAATTAACTATCTCTTGCTACTTGCGATCGCGGACGATGCGCTCGGCATGGCCGGAGCCTCGGAAAAGCGAAGCTTCCGGAACCCCCCCTTTTGTCCCTTTGTTCAGGCTATCATCGCCATCGCGTACCCCAACCCAGCACACCCGGTGGAGCCGGTGTGGTTCGGACCTCATCTCCTCACATTTTGCACACTTCTACAGCCTTTTTCTGTGCTCAGAGGGAGCGGGTACTCCTACCAGGCTACTGCTCGTGGTGGTCGGTGCAGTTGTCGCGTTCTTGCTGCGAATGGCCCGCGCCCAAGCTTCAAGGACGGCGGGAAGACAGCTCTGCCTCCAAACACCGCCAGGCAAAGGTGCGCTTCTGGTCTGCCTACGTCTTCATCGCCGGGCCCATTGCCTGGTTGGGCTTGATCCTGGCGCAGGCTCGTCGCAACCGTGAGCCGCTAGCCCCTACTCACTCGCCGCAAGCAATGCTCCTCACAGGTGCATCCTGCCCTCGCGCTAGTCTTCATCGCCAAGACCTTAAACTTACCTCCAATGTCAATTCCACATGAGGTTATGTGGGGAGTGCATCGCAGTAGCCTGCTCGAGACAAGGTGCCCTTTATGCCTGCACACCATGCCCATGGCGGAGGGGATGACCACGTGAGCCACGCGAAGAGCCAGGTCGGCATTCGTTTGACGTGGGAAGGGCTTTGGTGGTTTAGTCTTTGAGGGTTCATCGGACCGGTTACGTTGCCCTGCTTCTTCGCGTTGCCCTTGAGTCTTGAAGGTGGCCAAGGTGCGCGACCTCATTCCGCACAATAAGAGCGGTCCAGTTCTCAGCAGAGGACGCTTATGTGATGAGCGAGCCAGCCTCCTGTTCCATTAGAGCGAGGGAACTGGCCAGTTCAACTCGATGCAAATACAAAAAGCCTGTGGTGAATAGCCGTAAGGCCCTGCCGAACCCATGACAAACTCTGCCAAAGCCTCCCAATCACTGCTCCGAGAAATGCTGATACGAGCAGCTCAAGAATTCATGGCTCGACAGAGCTGGGACCTTAGAGATCTTGCAGGCGCATTTTGCTGTCATTTCCCGTCGCCGATGTGTTGGCACAAAGGTGCCCCACTACACGCTTTCGAGCATCACATGAAGCTCTTCGTAGACGGGGCCCCAGCGACCTGGGCCCTCCGATGGAGCCCAGCACCCCCTGTTTCAGAGGGATCTCGTCCTTCATGGCCTGAATCCCTCCTTTGCCTCCGGTCCTTAGGACTTCGGAATGTTCTTCTTCGGCCTGGCCAATGCCGGGGCCTGCGCCTCGGAGAGGCGGCAAGGCAAGCCGCCCAGTCTGCGGCTCGGGTCTGAGGTCAAAGTCGGAGGCCTCGGTTCGCTGACCTGGGCCACGGTCATCGCCCTCATCGCCCACGTCCCGGCGAGCTGCCGCTGCACAAGAAAGGGAGCCCGGGAATTGCCTGAGGCCGGGAAGACCCTCGGCATCGTCTTCTTCTCCTTGTCCGCCCATTGCATGGGCTTCCTCCTCCCTGTAGGCAGGGGGTGCCGGCTGAGGATTACGAGTCTGCTGTGCGCTGCGCGGCTTTTCGTTGAGGCTTGACGGTGGTGGACCTCTTTTCGATGTCGGCGCTCGGCGGGGCCGCTGGCTCAGAGCACGAGAGGCCCCGAGAGGCGCCGAAAGAGCGCCAGCGAATTTTTCTCAGGTCGGGCTCACCGTGGCACTCTTCGTCTCCAACGAGGCCCGACGTGGCTGTCCGGTAGCCAGCCACGCCATGGAGCGTGTCGTGCCCGGCGAGGCCTTCACCGACAAGGGCCTCCAGAGTCAGGCAGCGCTGAGCAGCTGATTGTCAGAGTGTCGCTGGGAAGTGATGGGTTACTGAATTCGCGGACTGGGGCTGGGGTGCGAAGCGCAAGGCGAAGATGGGCGCACTGTTGTCTGTGGCCTCGGCGTTGGTGGATGGGGCCCCAGAACGTCCAAAAGCTTCTTCCTGACTCCACGACGGATGCTTTTGGTCAGGGGAGATCTGTCTCTTCAGGCCTTCCTCATCAAGTTTGGTGGCGACCGGGTCTTCCACCGTCGCAAGCCTTGCGAGGAGGCTGCTCCAGTTCGCAAATACTGGAACCGAGTCCACGGGAGTGAACTTCGGTGAGAGGAGCCGACCGAGACCAACGTTGAGGTCGTCTACTCCGACGACGAGGTGGAGGCTCGGAAGCTTGGAGCGCTGTGTCCGCCTGTGTCCGCCTGTGTCCGCCTCTTTCGCCTCGTGGCTGCCACTGCCATGAGGCAGACGAGTGGCTGGACGTGGTCGCCATGAACGACATCATGCAGGCTGCGGGCTCTCCCCGTGGCTTTTTTTCGGGCCTTTCTTGGACTCTCCGCTGCGGTGAGGTGCTGTGGACCCAGCGCAAGTATCAAGCCCACGCCTCGGACTTCCATTTCTGGCTTCCAGTCCAGCAAGCCCCCTCCGAGTCTCGTGGCACTTCGCTGCCCATCCGGAAGCTCGTGCGGCCCTGCTGGCATGGTGCAGTGAATTCAGAGCAGCGGTCCCAAAGTTCAAGGAGTTCCCTGTTAGTTTGGTTAAAGAGAAACGAGAAATGGATTCCAGAGCCAACAAGAGGGAGCACTTTCACTACCCTTATCATTCTATCAGTAACTAATCAACTACCACTACGTTCCCACATCTCAGGGATAGTCTTGTGTGAGGAGTGGACAATGGACCCAAATGAATGAGTGAAACAAACGCGAGAAAGGAGTGAACGAAATGCGTGTTCACTTTCTTAATTTGGACTTTGGGAAGTGGCGGAGTTTTCATTGTGTTTAGTTCCTTTCCTTCATCAATTCCTTTCCTTTTATGTGTCTTTCCTCTTTCTCTTGAACTCATTTCCAAGGGATCAGATGTAGCGTAATGGATGTACAAAGAAGCAATGGAAAGAAGACAAAAGCCGATTTAATATTAAAATGTAAGCTTCGGGCTCGACGTTCGAAGGTCGCCATGGGTTCTACATGTCTACACTGTCTGCACCTTTTTGGTTGGATGGAGTGGATCCACATAAACCCGCGGAGCTGGTAAGGGAAAGCATGCTTCCTCTTGTCTCTGAAGTTGAGCAGCGCCGAGTTGGCCGCGCCAGGACGGTCAGCAAGAACAGCACTGCATGGAACAGGCCCGGACGAACGAGATCTCAGCACTCACAGCGCCCACGCCCCGCCGCTCCGCCGCAGGATGGAGCTGGAAGGCCGGAACAGCGCGGGGAGCCCGGAGCTGGTCCTTCACCGGGCTCTCCTTATGAACTGTGATTTTGTTCATGGTCACTTCAGCTAGGACTATAAAGTCCTTAAGAGTCCAGCTCTTCCAGACTTCGAGGCATGGGGTCGGATGACGACCCCCGGCAGCAAGGATGGCCGAGAAGACGTCATCGCCAGGACCCCCGCCACTCAAGGTGTTGGCCATGAGGATGCCTGAATCCCAAAACTTCAAGGGTTCAGAGTTTGGGGCATGCGGGGTTTAGGGTAGGAGTCCCCTTCCAAAACCCTGCCGCATGTACTGCTTTTAGCTGTGTCCTGTGCTTGTCTTCGCCAGTTCTCCGGCATGCATTCCGTGTGTGTTTGCGCCGTTCACACGGTGCAAATTGCGCTAGTTGGTTTGGGCCCTCGGTGCTGCGGCTAAGCATGGAGCTGCGTGGGGCCCTTTCCTTTACGAGAGGCACTTGATCAGTCGAAACTCTGCTTGGGTATAGGTTCTTGAAGTTTGAAGGTACGTAAATCACAATTCCAAGCCCTAAACGCCCCCAAGAAGGAGCTCCAAAACCTCCAACGACGAGGCCGGAGCCCGGGTTGGGTGCAGTGTCCTCTGTCTCTTTGATTCTCTCTTTGCACCAGTTTGTTGTCATGTCCTAGTCGGTCCTAGTATCTCAGTATGCCAACATCTGTCTACCTGTTTACTGAGCCTACTCATCTATTCATCTATGTATCTACTTATTCGCCTACCCAGCTACACGCGAAATTCAGATGCTTGTTTCGAACCGAGGCCACCCGGGCCGGCAGCAAGGAATGACTGAGCGGAGACCTCTCCCCGTCTCACTGAAATACCGCAGGATCCAGGGTTTCCTTCAGACAGCGTCAGATATCGAAGGAAGCCTTGGAGTAATGCAGCACTTATGGAGCATGTCCACAGCCCAAGACCACATTCTTTGCTAGATTTCTGCGGTGCGACTCTTCAGCCGCGCTTGAAGTCAATGCTTTCAGCGTTCTGGGGCTTGCTCCGGGCACAGGCGGCACCGCTGCCAATCCGTGAAAAGCTTGCAAGTGGGAAGGCGCCACACGAGCAGCGGTCTTCCAAGAGATCCTTTTTATCTCTACTGCGTCGTCAAAAGCTGTACGCTTTAGAAGAATGAAAATCATCTTAAGAAGTCTAAGAGTTCCGCGAGAGAGAGGCAGAAGTCGGTATAAGGCCGGCTGCCTCCCGAAGTGATACCCATCGGTACCTCCGGCCAGGTGCATGCGATGAAGCAAGGTGTTCTCTTTAGAAAAATCCCCTTCAAACAGAATCATGTCCAATTGCCGGGGGGCCGTTGAACACCCAGAAATGACAGACGTGTGGCTGTGTGGTTGATTTAAACAAGCTAAGGGCGAGCCCGGGAAGAGAGAGAGCAAGCAAGACGCGAGGGAAAGGTCATAGGAGTCCCAAAGACACTCAAAGACATTCCTCAAATCTCCGAAAGGGCTTCCCTTCGGCAGCACTTTAACGCCCTTTGTGGCTAAGCTCGCACGGTGCTGCCACGTCAGTACGGAGATCTGCTTTCAGTGCCTGAAGTGGCTCGCTGAAGGTGATGCCCGCACCCCCCTTTTCCTCGCCAGACCCTCCGAGGTCTACAGTGAATTTCCACCTTTCTTCACGGGACCGGCAGAGGGGCAAACCAGGGATCCGCAAAAGAATTAAAGGACTTGCCCTGTCAGTGCAGGAGGGAGCCTGTTTCGGAAGCCTCTGCGGTCCCCTGAAAGTCTAACGCGAAAGAATGGCCCGCTGCCAAGCAGCGCGCTCTGCGGTGGCGAGCCTAAGCTCCTGTTCGGCATAGACGCATCAGCTTTGAATCCTTTGCTGGAGAGGCTTGTGCAGGACGACCTTTTTCTTGTCGGTCTCGCCACCCCTTCAAATCAGTTTTGCATCTCTCAAGATAGTCTCTAGAGATCTGCGGCCCAGTTCGACCACCTTTCGAGTCTCGGCCCGAGTGCACGCAAAGAGCATCGCAGCATCCCTTTCACTGCTGGCTCCCAGAGTTACAGTAGATGCCAGGCAGTTTCGGCACTTCGAGACTCGCGGTTACAGTGTCACTGCGAATGGAATTCGTTAAAGGACGTGGTCGGACTGCCTCGGATTGCGGGCCCTTCGCGGGTCTGGTAAAAGAATGGCGAAGCATCGCGTAAGAACTGCAAGCCAGTGCAGGAGGCTCCTTCAGCTTGCCTCGGCAAAGCTTTCACTCCAGAATGAAGTGTGTAGAGAGAGAGATCGATAGATAGATCGGTAGATTAATAGATAGGTGGATAGGTAGGTCGGTAGGTAGGTTGATTGATTGATTGTGGGTAGGTACTTGTAGGTAAGACAGAGAAAGGGAGACCGAGCTATACTATGCCTTGGTTGGAAGTCCTGTGTCTTTCATCACTCCGGCTTTCTGACTCTTGAACGGGGTCCTTACGGCGTGTGCATTCTTCTTATGCGCTGCACTTGGAAGTACCAGGCAGTGCAGCCGGGCGAGCTGGTCAGGTGGGGCTTACTAGCACAGCCCGAATATCTTTGCTTGGCGACTGTAGAGCTCGAGGGGTGCTGGCCGCTCCTGCGTGAGGATCTGCGAACGCGGGCTGCTGGGCCAAAAGCTGTGGTGCAGACCTTGGCGCACGCATTTTGAGGCAGCAAGTGCCGTCTTGCAAGCAGGGTGCTACTCAGCAGCTCAGGCTTTGCTTGATGGATGGCCGGGGCTGGGTGTTGGAGAAGTCGGAGAGGCCTCCACGTCTCTTGCGGTTTTCATTTCGGTCCCCCCGAAGACCACATCCTTTGCTCCGCAGAATGGCGAACGCGAAGGGCCCGCCTGTCACTGTACGGTCTCGAGCTCAGTTGCTGGATGCTCGTGCTGGTCTGCAGTCGCACCAGCCTGCGGTGCTCGCGCGTTCGGTTGCACCCTTGCGAGTGCACCTGACACATCCCTGCCTTCAACCCTATACAAAGGGTGGATCAAGGGCGTTTGCTGAAGTTTGTCTTCGAACGAAGTGTGAAAAGCTTGGCAGGGCCGATACTTTCGCATGTTAGCATAACCGTTATGATGATAGATATGCGGTGCAAAAAAACGCAAGCAACGATGTTTCTACGCGGCCAAATTTGTTGATTTTGACATGGAAGTGCAGCTGTCGGACGGGATGGAGGCTTCAGGCCAGGTTCTGCCCAATGTGTTCTTTAACCCCGGCTTCGAGGACTGTTGGAAGAGCAAGGCAGTACTTTTGCATGTTAGCACTGTTCAACATGGCGTAGCCGTTATGATGAGTATGTGCAGGAAAAATTCCAAAAACAACGTTTCTGCGCGGAAAGAATAATGTTGATTAATGGTTTGGGCATGGATGCGCTGGCCAATGTATGGGCATGGACGTCATCATGGTTTGGGCTGGCCGATGGGTTGGCAGCATGGACATGGCAGGCAGACCTCGACAGAGAAAGCGCAGACGAGGGTGATCGTAAAGGGCCCGAAACGGCCCCTGAACGGCCCTAGGCCCTCTCAGACCTAGGCAGTTGTCTGAAGTCAGCGACGAGGGCAAGGTGGCCAAGGCCAGAGGGCTTTTCCGGGGTCCGTGGGAGTCGTAGTGAAGATACTGTTGCTTAGGGCTTGTCCTTATCTTCCCCCAAGGTCAAGCGAGAAAGCGCCAGAAGCATGGAAGCATGATCAGGATTGACACCTGAACGAACGCTGGCTGGCTTAGCAACCGCAGGGCACCAAGATGATGCTGGATCCTCGACTGCAAAATCCGGCCAGGGACTCGAAGAGGAGCCCGAGGGGCGGCTGCGCTGTAGCCCCGCGCACACACACAGACGTCTTCCTTTCTAGATACGTGTCAGTTGCCTGTATATCTGTCTACCTCTCTATCTGCCTGCCTCTTCATTGAGCCTCGCTGTAGACTCCTGGAGGAGGCATTGGAGGCTTTTCTTTTTTCGGTGTTTCGGAGGTGAAAATCCTTCCGGCGCCCTTTGCCTTCGGCGCCGTCACCGGGGCTCCCGAGCTGACCGGAGCCCAGAAACGGACTGCGACTCGACGTGTAGGCACCTGGCAGCTCTCTCTACGACTCATTGTAACTCAAAGGGGTCTGTGGGATCCTTTTTCTTGGGGGGCTCCTCCTCTCGTAATGAGTCTCAAGCTCCGACTCCGACTCTTTCTCTCTCCCTTTCCCAGGCTGGCGGGCACCGTGGTGGAGGTGATCCGCAAGGCGCAGGGCTGGGCTCCGGTTGGGAGCCTTCCCCCCACGGTACTGGGCGGGCCCCCCTGCCGCCTTTGCAGGTACAGGTTCTAGTCCCCTCTCCTTTCGGGGAGAACTGGGCGCGCTACTACAAGGCGGACGAAAACCGGACGGCATAGCAAGGCGAGAGAAGCGAGCGCTGTGTGCTCGCAAGATGCAGGTGGAAGATCAGCGCCGCATCGAGGGCTGGCTCGGCGAGCTGAGGTCGGTTTTCCAAGATTCTGACGTCTGCACCAGCGCAACTCCTCAGGAGTATGAGATCTGCACAGAGCCATTTTCTGGCCAGGGTGCATTGCGGCATCAAGGATCCCAGCGCTGGGGAAACGGTCCTCTGCGATTTTCAGGAGCCCGGCCTGGCGGGTTCCAGGGCAGAGAGAGCGATTCTTTTCCCCCAGGCCGGTGGCTTCGCAGAGCCCAAGTTCCATGGCAAGCGGTGACCTGAGTGTCTGAGGGGTTCTGCCTCCGATCTCCGAAGATCTCTACGCAGGCCCTGTTGGGTGTCCGTGGTCTCTAAGAATCCGGTGCCCTTGCTCTCAGCTCCTTCGAGGCGGGGAAGGTGTCAACTTGGGGTCCTCAGCGTCGCTTCCCCGCGTGTTTTTCGAGGAGGCGGGCGACGAAGAAGACCTTGAGTCCAGGCGACTTCGTCGAGGCCGGGGAGGGCCGAATCTGCCGCCTCTCTGAGCTCCCTGAGCTCCCCTTGAGGCGGTGGAGGAGCTTCGTACGGTTGGCTTGGCCTTCTACAGGCCCAGATGCGTTTCTGAAGCGTTGGCCGGTGAGTGGCTCTCGCTTATCTTCTGGTTGCGGAATCAAGCCATCAAGCCTACCCCAAATCTGCTGAGCTTCCTTCCGCAATCGTGTGTACAACGTGACGCAGGCTGATAGACGGCTGCTGGGTCTCGAGGGACGACAGCGCCGGCAAGGCAGCCCCCCAGACCCCGGACCTCAAGCTAAGACTAAGAAGGCCACCAGGCATTTTCTAGATTCGGAGGGCCAGAGAATCGCGACAAAGGACCAGCAGGCCAGCAGGCAAGCCGAAGTTCAACAGAGTCCCAAGTCCAACTGAGGCCTGTCGGAAAGAGTGGATGAGTCTGCAAGTCAACACACTGGGAGGTTGCGTGCGACCTCGTCGTGCGCGAGCGACACAAATGGATCTACGTCTGCAACGACAAGGACATTCGGCTGTCGGCTGCCTCCCGGAGAGAAGCGTGAAAGTAAGAATTGAAGAACCGCCCCTTCTTAGAGCTTTCTTTTCTGATGTGAGGACGGCGCCCAAGTGCGCACCACGCCCACGCGCTCCCAAGCCCGGAACGCCAACAAGAAGCTGAAGTACAGGCGACTCCCGTGTCCCGGAATCTTCGCTTCCTGGTCCGGCTTGAAGTCTTGAAGCCTTGCAAGAGGGCACGGGTGATCGTGTCCGAGAAGGTTACTCTTTCTGACGGCGACGTGCGGGCCTCGTCCGGGCCTCGTGGGCCGAAGAGCTCTGAAGCTCTGATCAGGTCTTTTTGAAGCTTGGGGAAGACAAGAAAGGCAGGGCATGGAGCCAAAGAGCCGAAGCATCTCACCGCGAAAAGCAAAGGCTGGGTGCCGGCAACGAAGCTGAACTCCAGTGTAGTGAAGATGGCCGGGGCCTTGTGCTCCTTGCACTGCAAGGGGTTGCACCCTGTGGCGCAGGCTCCCTTGCAAGCGCTGGAGGAAGGAGCGCCACAGCCTGAGTGCCTGCCAGGAGTGGGAGGGGGAGCGGCGACTTGTGTAGCGGCGACTTGTGTGGCCGAGGGCCGCGCGAGGGCCTGCGGCTTCGCGACCTCCAGCCTCACGGCCGCCCCCGGCCCCGTGCCAAGAGTTAGGACTTGGAGAGTTCAGGGCTTCGGATTCGTTCGACGGCGCAGTCTTTAGCCATTTCGGGAAAGGGCTTCGCGGCTTCACTGTCGGGAGCTTGAAGGCTTGCAATGGCTATGGAGCCGCACCCCCCATGCCACAGCCAGATGCTCAGAGCAGAGCACGGCTGGCAACATCTCGCAAGCCTTTGGCTTTGTCCAGGCCCGTCAACAGCAACGGCCTCGGTCGGTTTCATCGGTGTTGGGGGAATAGCCCGGTCTGGGTCTCAGGCTACAGCCCGTGCCCGGGTGCGCCGGGACCCGGTGCCTACACACAAACCTACGTGGGCTACAGCTACGGCGGCCAGATGTCAGGGCCTCGGCGGCTCTGGTACTGCGACTGCCGTACTCATTGCGGAACCATCGAGAGGAACGATCGAGACGGACAGAGCTATATAGTGTACCCATCTTCTGTTGCACGCCGCGAGCACAAGGAGTGTGCACGCGTACGTGGGCAGGAACCCAGCCGACTTTGGGATGGGGGTCGGGCACCGAGTCTGGGGCGGAAGAACTGTAGGTGTGGAATTCGAAAGCGGCGTGCATGCCGTGAGTCTAGAGTACCCAGAGTACTCCAATCCAACACTCCTTCCGAGTCCGAGGGCTTCGGTCACAGCGCTGGCGGGGACTTCGGCCTTGGAGGGATGCCAGCGCCGATGGCTGCTCCGGGCGGTCCGGGGCCGATGCCCGGGCCGGCGCCGGTGCCCTCCGGGAGCGACTTCGGCCTCGCAGCGGCCGAGGACTCATCGAATTCGCCTTTTGCAGGAAGGGCCCAGGGCCCTTGACCACACGTGCGATTCACCGACTCTTCGTCGTAGTGCTTGCAGATGTTGGCGCAATGGGCCACCCCCATCACGTGACTGAGTTGACATCACTCATTCACTCTCCTCACTCGCTCACTCACTCACACTTCACTCACTCTCACGTACAAGTTGTAAGCTTCGTAGAGAGCTTGCGCTGAGGCCAGTGGCTACGCGCAGATGTGCTTGCCTTATATGGGTGCGGAGAGAACCCAAGCCCATGCATGCATGGTACGGTGGGCCCCTCCTCCTATTCTCCTCCTGTGCCGTTAGGCCAGGGCCAGCAGCGGCCGCGCTCTCAGCGCCAGCTCTGCCACACGCAATGCTCGGCAGAGATCGCACCGGGTGGCACTGGGTGGTCCTCCTAAGAGCAACGCCTCTACCCGGTTGGCATTTTTTTCAGTGGATAAGCTTTTCTCTTCTGTGCGCGGGGATCTGCTGCACGATGCAACGAAAGATGATGTGCCGTGTGCCGTGCCTGACAGGGAAATGGAATGTGGGGCGCCCCACAACAAACGATGGCACCGCAGGGGACTCTGCAGCAGGGGGAGGGTCTTGACGAAATTCTGCCGGAGCGGATGTGATGCAGACTGCGCTGAGGCCAACGCAGGTGGGTGCTCGCAGCTTAGACTCAGAGGCCAGCACAACACGTCGGCTCCAACCAGCTCCAAGTCTCACTAGTGACAACTCTCGCGAGCCTTGTTGCTACCGTGTCTTCCCAGCGCATGCCGCTGACCCACGCACGCGTTGGAGTTGGAGTTTCGCAGCGCCCGCTGAAGTGGGCGCAGAGTGCCCGTGCACATGCTTGACATAGATCAGTCGCCATAGCTCGTGAAGCGTTTTTGCGTCGCCATGTTGCGGCGGCTCTGCCAAGGCCTGGGGAGCTGGCCCTGGCTGTGGCTGTGGCGGTTGTGGTTATGGCTATGGCATGCAGTCGGAGACCTGTGGCGGTCCCCACTGCCTTCACCTTCACAGCCTTCTGCTGCCACGCCTCACCAGCCGCAGCCGAGGTGACGCAGAACGCGATCTCAGAGGTCTGAGGCTACGAGCCTTTGATGTAAACTGCCAATGACTGAGCTCGTTCGGATCTTGCGAACCTTGAGCTCCTGCGCTCCACGAGGGTGGGGTGGTTTGGGCCGGCTGAAGCCTCAAGCAGACACGAAGAGCAGAGCTCTGTACAACTCTTGGGGGAGGCGTTCTTCCGGCCCGTTATGGTTAATCTCATCGCAGGCCATGAGGAGTTGCATGGAACATAGTAGCACAGACAACAGTCAACAACATAGTGACGTAGCCGTAGCCGTACTTGCGTGCACTGCAACTCCTCGAGCTTCGGCGTCTTTCAAAAGACCCCAAGCGAAGCTGTCGGAACCGCAACAAACCAAAGGGGTGAGGGATCGTGCGAGGCATTGCATCTGCAGTCGGCTTCACCTTGACAGCCTTGACATGTCGTGGCCTCTCCCGGCTGCTCGTAGGATCATTCCGGGAGTTCTGCACAGACGCAGTGACAGTGAGCGGTCACCGGCGGTCACCCAAACCCAACAATCCCACTCAGACTCAGTGCCGACGCGTTACCTGGACGTGCAGTGCAGCGAGCGCGCCATGGCACCCATCGCGGGACGGGCGCAGTCTCATGTGCCCTTCGAGGCCGGTGAAGCGAGGCCTTGCTTCACTGGCGATCTTCTGGCCCTTTCTGAGGCCTCACCGGTCCAAGACACGCTGCTGCGCGATGCCCCGTCGCTGGAGCCCTTGATCAGGCAAGTGATGAAAGAGCTGGCGGGAGCCGCAGAAGCCTTTCCAAGTCTCCTTCTCGCTCTCAGGAGGAGCGGTGGGCTCACCCAGCTTACCAAGGCTGCAAAGAAGAGTTGGGCCAGCTTCCTTGGTTGTTGCCTTGCGGTCAGGATATCCTCGAGATGCTGCGACGAGCGCCTGGTGGAGGACGAGGGACGAGTTGCTGAAACAGACGCACGCAGGTGTGCGCGAAGTCACCACCTGGAGCTTGCGCAGGATACTCCACGAGCTCGCAGCCAGGCCCACCAGGCTGGCCCGAATTGTTCCTGAGCGGCCGCCGGAGCGCCGGAGGGAGCGGAGGGGGGAAAAGGGGGGCCAAGCGCAGTCCCTTGGAGGTCCGGAGGCGCTCCCCGCCGAGCCCGAAGAGCTCGTGGCCACTCGGCGTGAGAAGCGCAACCGCACTCACCGCACTCTCATGCTACTTATAAAGAAACCTCTGCCGGCTGACAAACCTAGGCCCTGGCCGAACAGGCCCTGGCGCTGGAGGAGCTCGAGGCGGACCGGGCCAAAATCGGCGCTTCGGTTCGGTTCTGGAGAGTCTTGGAGGACAGCATGCAGCTGAAGTGGTCTCGCGACGACCGGGATGCAGCCTACCAGAGGCTTCTTGCAGATGGGGACTCGAGGGACAGAGACCTTCGTCCCGGCACAGGCTGGTTCAATGCGGGATCTGCTCCGCGCAGGTGAGAAGGGCAGGGTTGGGGGGGGGGGTGAAGCGGCTTTGCGGTTTTGAAGCCCGCGTGTGATCTCTCCCAGGCCCTCCTGACCGCATTGAACGACCGGAGTGCCGGGAAGCCTCCCGGTAGCAAGAAAGACTTAATTCGAGTTTGGGAAAAGCTCTCTGCTTTTGAGGTGCCGGCTCAACCAGATGCTCGAGGAGGGGGGGTGTCGGGCCTTGAAGGCAAGGGGCGGGACGTGGAAACCCTTGAGCCGTCGCGCCGCGCCGCGCCGCGCCGCACAGGCAGATGCCATGGTTTGGCTGGCCGAGCAGCTCGAGGCGCATCTCAGCGAGGTCTCGAGGCTTAGGCGCAGCGGCTGAGAGCGTTTTCGCTGTGTCCTCAGGTCCGCGCGCGGCAGCGCATCGAGGTTTCCGTGGAGGGCAACCAGCCGATTCTCCTCACTGCCTGCGGCCTGAAGAGAGGGGATCCGACGTGAGGCCGGGGCAACAAAAAGCCAAGGCTCCCCACAACATCTACCTCCGGAGGGACGGCCAGCCGCCTCACATGATGGAGGAGTTCTCTTCTGCGTAGACGGTTCCGTGGTTTTTTCAGCGTCGGTACCTTGGAATGAGGAGTACACCACTCTGATCGCCCAGCGGATGGCGAGACATCTTGGCCAGGGCCTCGGGCTCTCGGACCATCAGCAGAAGCCCGGATCTCTGCTTTCACTCCAAAAGGTGGGACGTCCTTGTCCTGGAGCAGGGCCGAGCAAAAGAGGCACTCCGGTCAAGCGGCTTCCAAAAAGCGTGCTTTGCACTCGGAGTCAGAGGTCCGAGCTGCAGTGGTGCCTGGCCCGCCTTCGATGCGAGGCCACTTGGCTAAACGGAACTGCCCCAAAAACAGGACGGAGAGCCACCCCTGATGCCAGGCCGAGGATTTCAGCAGTTTCCTGGAGCCTTGCAATCGAGATCCGTGCAGCACTCAGTGCACTCAGTGCCCAAATTCCGCGGCGAGTGCGGCGATTTCGCACCCCCCTTCCCGTGGCAGCAACTACTTGCTGAACGAGGAGGTGGCGCAGAATCCGTGGTTTCGCCAAATGGCGAGGCCCCACCAGCCGCTGCTCGGTAAACACCTTGCATCCTCCCGCTGAGCCAGGTTTGCGGACAAGTGGCGCCATGCTAAGGACGGGATGCAGCAGCTTGTCTTTCCGTGATTTTCTGCGTGACGGAGGAGGGGCACTTGCGGCCTTTGCTCCACATCGACGTCCACGGCTGCAGGGATCCGCCGTGCCCTAAGCTGACATTCCTCGTTTCTGTGTTTGGCAACCAGGATTTGCTCGAGTTTCTGGGTCTCGAAGATGTGCACGGGATTCTGTGACGCTGAGCCAGGCCTGCAACGCCATCGCACCTGACCGTTGGCTTGGCGGCCATGCGCCATGAGGTGGCCCGAAACCCCTGAAGCCCAATCCCATCAACTCTCAACTCATCTAAACTCGAGATCCCCTTCTGGGAAGAAAGCGCGCAGGTCGAGATGGGGCGGAGTCCGCTCTCTCAGAGCCGTGTCGAGAGTTTTGCTGCCGCATTGCAGGCCCGGCACCGGTATTGGAAAGGGGGGAGGAGGTGGAGATAGCACCATCCCCTACACATTGGGGTCGCTTTGACACGTTCTCGCTTCGGAGCCCCGGCTTAGACCTTTGTGACTTGGTGCTGTGAACGGCACGCTCCGGCCCCACGTTGCCGCTCACAGAGGCAGGACCCCCGAACTGATGCATCATGATGCTGGCCCACATCTTCCGAGAACAGCATGGAGAAAGCTTCGTCCCAAGTTTCGAAGGCGCCCAATCACCACAAAAGGGTCGGCAAGTCCTTGTAAAGATTCAGCTTGGAACGGCTCCTAAACCATAAACTTACTTAGCCAGTGGGAGAACTTGAAACTTTAAGGTTTTTGGCGTGATATATTTAGTCTATCGAGTAAGTTTGATTTTTGGGCCTGCTCATAGTGTAGCAACGTTAGGACCAGTATGAACAAGGTAGCCTAGAAAACACCCTCACTGACCCCTTAATGCTACGCCTACATCTTGTGACACTTGTTATCAGTCTCGATAAGGAGACCTCAACATGGAAAGGGTGCAGTGCCAGCGGCACCTGCAATGCTGAAATGCTATAAAGCTTTGTTAGAAGGTCCTGGAAGGCTTTGGGGTTTGGGGTTTTCATGGGAGGCCTTGAGGGCTGCGAGCTTAGACCGTTGGAAGATGAAAGGTGTCCCGCTCTGTTCTGTTCTGTTCTGTTCTGTTCTGCTTGCAGCACGCAGATCAGCGACAAGCCCCTCTCTGCAAACATGGATTATGCAGCAAGGGGGTCCGACATCTGAAGAAGCTCAACAGGAGTGGAGGTTTTCAGGTTGTCAAGGCATTCCGCCAGCATTGTGCTGAACTCCTCCCAGAACGAGCTGACGCTGGTGCTCGGCAGCTTGGATCTCCGACCCAGGCCCAGGGAAGTATTCGGGTTTCGGGGTTGGGGGATGTGCTTGACAGCTTGAGGCACTTGACTTCGGGCTTCAGGGGCATGGAGGTTCAGGGTTCAGGGCTGAGGGCTTGCGGGGTCGAAGGGTTTCGTGGCCACCAGGTTGCGCTCGAAATCCCAGGAGGGTATAGCAACACTGTGCGAGAAGAGACTACAGCAGGTGGCTTGACATCTAAATCGCTGACGGTGGCTGACGGAGGTCCGAGAAGCTTGTGCGGGTTCTACTGCCGACTCTCTCCGGGGGTTGGAACCTCAGTCACCCCACTCATCGCTGCTTCGTCCTCAAGAGCCATGCCCAGGTCAGAGCATGGAGAGGCTTTCCGGTGCCTGGCCGCTGGAGGAGAGGGGGGGGGGTGAGAGCTTCTTCGGATGATGAGAGGCATGTGTACGTTTCTTCCACCCCGAAGAGAGAGGAGCGTCGGCTCACTCAGTCGCAGCAGGCCAGGAGCCCAGCAAAAAGCGGCCAGAGGGAACCGTGGCCCGGACCCGGACCCTTGCGCCTCCAATGTCAAATCTCCGTTCCCGGCCCGGAATCACGGTTGGCTTATCGCTTTCAGGCCCGAATTGCCCTAATTCTAGTCCCGCCACTCTCGCTCCAGTCTCGGACCCCTGAGGCCATGGCTTTTGCCGGCTTTACGCACTCGTGTCAGCTGGAGCTGTCCAAGGCGGGCGAAGCTCCCAGGACTTCAGGACTAAAATGGACTAAACTTCTTTTTTGGGGGGAAAAATATTTTTTCCCCCATAATATGTTTAGGAAGTCTCAGTGGGAAGACTTTCGTCCAGACAGAGGCACTCCGGCGAGCACTGAGCCGGGACGATGCGGCCACGGCCCGACTTGGGAGAGCGGTGACGAAGGCAAGGACAAGGAGGCTTTTTGTGCCCCCCTTTTCTTTTTGGGTCAAAAGTGACACGAAAGTGTGTAAACTCTGAGTATCTGTGAGTTCTGTCTGTCTCTTTCCATTCCGCATCTTCGCTTAAAGAGGCCTGGGCCTTGTGCTGCCAGGGTGCCTTGCCTTCGCTGCCGGGGCCCAGGCTCGGCTCCTGTCAGCCTACCCGACCCGGCCCTTCTTCGGCGCATCAAGGAAGTCCCCAAGCGGTGACGATAAGGAGGCCCTCGAGCTGGCTTGCATCTCAGAAAGGGGTTTCTAAATTCTAAATCAAAGTGTCCTCTCTCAAACCAAACTCTCAAACACTGCAGCCCAGATGCGGCCACGCAGTGGCGGCGCCCGCGAACGAAAGAGGCTCAATTTCCCCACAGGGCTGTCAACGTCAAGCCGCCAAGCCCTTGCATGCCCCCACACGAAGCCGTGTTTCAGCGTAGTTGACCGTAGAAAGCTTTTTAAAGCCTGTTTTTCCTGAAGGCGTGGCGACCGACGCGGCTGTCCTCCTTTGCGGCGCCATCAGACCGCCTGACTCCGCCGTCGACTCAGGGCAGCTGCGGGCAGCTGGGCACTGGTCATCCAGCATGCCTATCTTGTTTTGATGTCGAGGCACCGTGCAGGCAGCTCAGACAATGAGTGGCTCTGCCAGAAGTCACAAATCGTTTAATGGCGACTCGAGACTGCGAGACTCACAGCGTGTGTTTTAGCAGTAGGCAGTAGCTTGGTACGTTGGTCACACAGATGCTCGAGTGGAGCCCTTACCAGCTTCCCCTCGTTGGGAGCACCGTAGCAACCGCTACTGTACGCGGCTCGTGAAGACCCGACTTTTCCGACGTTGTGCGGGGCCCTATATGGGGAGTGTTCGCCACACGCAGAGCCCGTGGAGAGCCAGAACTGGGCCACGCAACTCGTCGTGAGCGTCCGCTTTTCCAGGCGGAGGCTCAGATGTGGCGAAAGGCTGCTACGCCGCAAGGCTCCATGTGGGGCTTCTCGGGTTTGGGGTGCGGGGCATTCTGTACAGGCAACGTGCAACTCATGCCCGAGTCAAGATAGGAGAAAAGCATTTCTCTTCAGTCTGCATGGTCTTGTCAGGGCATCAGACCAAGTTAAGTTTCAACCGCTCAGGACTTTTTCGAACTCGAACCGGCTGGGCTCAGCAAGAACTGGCATGCCAGGAAGTCAAGACTGGCCGTGACTAGCCCTTGAGCGCGCTGCTCCATCTGTTCATAGCGCCAGAATCGCGGAGGATCCGATTTCAAGGCTTTCAAAGCCGTAGAGCTTATGTTTGGTCATGGCCCAGCGGCAGCTGAAGCGGCCGGCGCCAGGCAGCGCCGCGCTGCTTGCTGGCGTGGACGGGGCCTCTGCTACGAGCTGTTGTCCAAATAGACAAGCCCTTCATGAACGTCCCTGTCTTCTTGTGGACCAGGACTTGGGCGGGACTACGGTTGCGGTTGGATTGGTCTCAGCTGACGGCCAGCTCCTCACCAAGCTGTCACACCGGCGATCTGGTTAGAAGACGAAAGGAGCATCTTGCAGCGGTGTTGGGCTCATAATGGGCCGGTGATGGCAGGGTCGAGGCTGTTGGCGAGGACCACCAGCCCGAAGGCATCGTCAAGCGCATCTCTGGCCTTATCAAGGAGAGGGCTCCTTGAGCGTCCTATTTAAGTTGCTGAAGACGAAGACGGCTCAGAGAACTGCAGGAGGCCTTGCGCCAGGCCGGAAGGTCTTGGTCGGATGTCCAGGGCCTCGGGGCGCGGTCCCCGGGACCGCCTTTTGACGCCTGCGCTGCCTCTGGGAACCGACCGAGGTCTGCACCCCGGGGCTCTTGGACCTCTCCGCCGGGGTGGTGACTGCGGCCAACCTCAAGGGTTGGACCAAGGCTGGGCCAGTCAAAGTCTCGCGGCCGCGAGCGCCCTCGGCTCTCATCGCGGCTCTTCTTGAGGTGCCGCTGGTGAAGCTGCTCTCCCAGGAGAGCCGTCGCCGCAGGTCGCAGCTCCGCACAAAAAACCGGTGCGCCTTTCAGGAGCTCGGCTGGGAAGCGTGCCGCGTGACTTTGGAGCACGACACCAACAGCGCCCTCCTGGCCGAGGTCAGAGAGCGGAATTGCGCGGAAGAAGAAGGAAGGATTTGGGAGTTCGTTCTTTTGTCCCTCTCAGGCCTGGGTAGGGGCAGCCGTTGGCCTGGAAAACGTCAGGAGCCCAGCGAAAGCCCAGGCTCAGACCGAAGGGCGGGAAGGGCGATTTCTGACTGCTGAGATTGTGCTGCTCTCTTTGGGCACTGGCATCGGCGCCGCGATCATGCATGCCGACTGCAGCTAAGGGGAGCGTGGAGGGCTGGAGGGGTGGTTGGAGTTTGGACTTGCAGTCCTTGTCTTCGAATTGTCTTTCAGAGTCGCAGGGGGCCGTTGCGCGGTTCACCCACACTTTCCTAACACTCCCTGATGCCAAAGCTGCATGCAAACGGACCCCTGTTGCCAACAGCGCCGGCTCTCAGATGCGATGGCCGACTTCTCCGTGGCAGCCGCGGCCAAGCCGGTGAAGTAGGCCGAAGAAGTTTCTGGGTTCAAAGTCTCGAAGCTTCGCATGGAGAAGCCATGGCAGGACATGCCATCCTCGTCCCAGACGGCCGTGAGTTCGGCCGAAGCGGTGTGCTGGGGAGCTCAGCGCCCAGTGAAGTCCAGCTTAGTGCGGTGCATGCCGAGACCTCAGACAGGGCGGGAATCTTCGAAGGCTACGCAAGCGCCAGTGCCGTGGCCGAGTTCCCAGAACGGGCTCGAAAGCATTCCTGCGCATCCTTGCATGTCCGTGCCCTGCAGACAGGTGGCACGTGCCAAGGAGGGGATGGTTCCAGAATCATCGCTGAGCAAACTCCAGGCAGACTGACACGCGTCTTGCGGATGCTTGTGGCTATGCTCGCAGTCGGTCCACACCACGGGGCGTGGCTGCGCGATGCTGCGTCTCTGCAAATCTCACATCGGTACCCACGCCCGTCTTTGTCGTAGCCGCCTCACAAGAGGCTACTGACGGGATGCTCTGAGGGTTTCAAACCAAAGAATTCCGAAGACACGATGACTGAACTAGCTGCTCGTGGTGCTCCACGAGCAGCGTGCAGTTTTTGAGTTAGGGACAGCTGTGGCTGTGTGCTCCACTACGATTTGAACCTTTCCTATGTCAAGGCACTTTTGTCTGGGATTCCTTGAGTTGGTGTGTCGTCCAACTTCAACCACACGGGCAGACCCCAGAATGTCTGACTCCAGGCGTGGCATGATTTGGTGCGTCACACTGCAGCCATTGGCATCTTGAAACTAGGTGCAAGCAGCACGCGGCTGTTTGTTTGCAAATCAGCGCAAGATACTAATGCCTGCGACGAGCTTTGGAAACGTAATTTGGAGTGTTGGTTGGAGAGACTCAACTGCTGGATGCTTGCGCCATTGTCCAGGCCTTGGACTGCGAGGATGTCTTTGCTCACGCAGCGAAGGGCGATGCCTATGCCAAGGAGCTGGTGCGAGAAACCGCGAGGCACTACCTCTGCAGTACCCGTCAGCATGTGGCTTATTGTGTTTGCCTGTCTGACCAGGTACCTGGCGATCGGATGCATCAACTGCTGCCGCTTCGTGGATCCGTCTGTGATCTTGCTGTTGGGACAGCACGCAGCTACCGACGGACATCTTTTCAATTCTGGGCATATAATCGCAAGGGCAGTGCCATGCTGTGCCAGTGCCATGATGCAGTGGCTCAGGTTCTCTGGCGGACTGGCCGAGGCGCCAACGGGAAGAGAGCCCTTTTCAGAGTCGCGCTGCTCTTGCAGCTCACGCGTGATCAGGCTGGGGAGAGCTTGCTCCAAGAGGTCCGGAGGCAGAGGGCTCCGCCCTCTTCAACTTGCTGCTCTCAGACCTCTGTGATTCTGCTTGAGTGCGTGGCGCCGCCGGCATTTGGCTCTAGTTGAGCCGGTTCACGAGCCACCCATCGTATCACTCGTGCTCCAGCCATGTCCCCATGTCCCCATGTCCCCACGGTCCCGTTCCGATTAAAAAGAAACCAGCTGAAGATGCGCCAGCGATGGCGGCTTCTGGAATCCGATGGGCGGATGTGCGACCGCGCTGCGGACTGGCAGAGAAGGCCAGAGATCGGAAGACGGTGGGCGAGACGAGTACATTTACATGTCACGCCGCGCCACAGAGAGCCGCATCGTTTCGCAGATGTCTGGCCGGTCGGCGCTCGCATCGGTGGCTGCTTCTTGGTGTTGGAGCCTCGGGCCTCGGGGGCTCCACAATCAAAGTCCCTTGTGAAGCCTTGGCCGCCAGGTCGCTGTAGCGATGATGGTATACTGGCAGCCTGATCACGCAGGCGGTCTGTTGGTGTAGCCTGGGGGCAGCCCCCCTTCGAAAGCCAGTCTCTGCCTCTCTTGCCCTGCCCTGTCCGCCCTCATTGCACACTCTTCTCCCCTTGAGGGTTGTGACGGTTTCACAGACTGAGTCCATAGGCCAGGCTTAGTCAGCCTGGCAGGCTAGGGTGATGACGGTTTCACGGCTGCGGTCATGGTCCATCCCCCCCTCACCGTCCACGGCCCCAACACCCCACCGAGCCCCCTTGCCGGTAGCGCTCGCAAAGTGTTTCTGACGGTTGAGCTTCGAAGCGCTGGCTCCTTGCCACGTGCGGTAGCGCTCGCGAGGTTGTTGGCTACAGCATGTGGCTCGTTGCCAAGAGTCAGGGTGGGCCTCCTTTCCCTCCTCACGCTCTCGCGTTTTTGGCTGACCTGCTACAGTTTATTTACAGCACACACTGTTTCCTTGCCAAGGGGGCTGGGCCCCCCCGCGGCATCGCTCGCGATTTGCTTTTGACTTCTGATCCCTGCTGGCCCTTGACGATGTGAGGTGCAGACTCCTGATGGAATCTAGACCTGTTGTCTCTGCGTAGTCATCGAGCATCCTGCGTCCATGCATTCGAAACTGCACGAGAGCCACTCTCCCCTCCCCCCCTCCCCGACCTGAGAATGAATCGTCAACGCCCTCCTCCCCTTCGCCCTCCGCTCCATTCAGTTGTGTTGAGGTTGCGCTTTTCTGGGGCCCTTGCTTCGGCTCACTGCGATTGGGGCGCGTGTAGGTCAGTTCGGGCAGGTGACTCTCAGCCGCTGGCGGCGCTGCCCTGAGCTTTTCTCGAAGGTGACACCGCTTCGTTGTGGCCAGGGCTGTGAGAGCCTGAGGCAGGTTGGGGCTCAGGTGTCATTACACGAGGGTCGCGGGCAAAGGACAGAAGAGAACTTCGAGGCTGAAAATCCAGGTCTTGCCCCTTCTTGCCGATCCTCTGGCGGGGATCCGTGATGAAAAGACTTGGAGTCGTGATGAGAAGATGGGAAGGCTTGACAAGATTCCCCCGAAACACCACTAGACCTTGCACACTCCCGGGTTTTCTTCAAAGGCCGCTCAGTCTCCCCGGAGCGGCACCAATTCAGCGGCATGGTTTGTGCCAGATGAAGTGGCAGTGTGGGACGTTTGCACAGGTGCTTGAGGGATCCCCCGAAAAGCTTGCCAGCTGAAGAAAGCTTCCTGACCTCATGAAAGTGCTGCTTTAGGCGGTGCCGGGATCTTCCGGCCGTCTTGCAGCAGCTGGCCAGGGTCTGATCTTTAGACTTCATCGGAGCGGCTTTAAGTGGCCTTGTGGGCTCCAAAGGCGCTGCAGCTGCCGTGGGCCTCGCTGCCGCTCAAGGCCGTTCCCATGACTTTTGGCACGAGCCTTGCCTCTCAACCACTCCGCAGCCAGGGGCTTCAACGCAGTCAAAGGCGGCGGAGGCCGGGGAGGGCTCAACAGACGCTGGAAAGGGATTTCGCCACTGCGTCAGGATGGTAGCACTTTGGTCACCTCTGTGTCCCTGGCTCAACATTCAGGACGGCAGTGATGGCTTTGGGCTCGGACTCCCGTCATAGGCTGAACCTGGCAAAGAACATCATCGGGGCCGGCATGCTCTCGCTGCCTGTCGTCGGTGCCTCACAGCAAACCCCCCAAACTTCCCAAACCCAACACGCCTGAACCCCGACACCTCTGAACCGCCACTATCGGAAGCCCCCGGTTCGAATGCCACCACAAAACTTCCTGGAGCTCTCATTTCAAGAGCCATAGCAAACATGAGGGGTTTTACATCCCCAGCCTATCCCCAAAGCCTCCAAGCCCTTTCAGAGATCTACCGAGGCTCTCCGAGGTGCCGGCCTAGCACCCTACGTGGTGGGCATCACACTGGCCGGAGCCCTCAATGCCCCTCGGCATGAAAGCGGTGCTCTTACAGGGAGGGAAAGGATCTTGGCATTTGGGCATCCGGGCATCGTTTTGGGGAGCATGTTTCCTTGGGGCTCTTATACAACAAGAAGTTTTTTCATCATCGTACCTTCTCTTCCAGGTCGAGAGAAAGTAGGGTGGGTGTGTTTTTGAAGGCTTCGTTGGAGTCCGAAGCGCGCCAAAACGTCCAGGCCTACACCTTCTTCCTGCTGGGCTGGTGCTGCGAGGCCCAAGACGAGGGCCCCCCCCCCGACCCCGAGGAGATGAACCCGAAAACCCGAAGCAAAGGTGTGTATAGTCTATATACTCATGTAAGAAACCTGTGGACTCCTCTCCTCTTGAGAGGTGACCGGTGCCAGCACTTTCGGCGAGCTCTGGGCGAAATGCTTTGGGCAACAAAATGCCTGGATCGCCGATGTTTCAGGCTCCGTTCGGTGGTTGGTTTAGCTCTGAGCCTCCTCTCCTCCCTAACAAAACCACGGCCGTCTGCGTCCAGTCCTGATGAACAACAGCATGGCCTGCCTTGCGCATCTTGGCTTGAGTTTGGAGCTTCCTTCAAGCCGCCGTCGTAGCATGTTGTACCACGATCCCAACATCCGCAGAAATGCTTTCAAAGGTACTGCGTCTTGATGGGAGACTTCTTCTCCAAGGCCCGCGGAGACTTGCTGGGGGTGGGTGCAGATGTCGTTGCGAACCATGGCGTAAAGACGTGGGGTCGGCCATGCTCGATGGACAGGCCTTGGCAGGATTGCTTCCAGACTGCCCGCTGCAGCAGCCCCAGAAACACATGGCTCAGTGAGGGTGACTGGTCAGCTCTGCCTTTGCACGTCGGCGTACCCTCGGATGAGAGGAATTTCTGGAGTTTTTGGAGAGCCCAGCGCCTAGTGCTTCGCGTGACTCTCCGAGGCTTCATGGTCGTGGTGTCGACCTGTGCATCATTGGCCTTTGCCTGTTGGCCGTTCGCCTGCATTGCAGCCTGCAGCGATGACAAACACCATTTACCCCCGCCCCAAGTTAGCTGTTGCTGTTGTCTTCGCTGTTGTCCAAGATAGCGGCACCTACAGAAGCATGGCCAATGGTAACTCTGGGTGATCATGGCAATTGTGCGGGCATTGAGTGGTTGGTCTTCGGGTGCTTCGAGGGCTTCTTGCTTTGGTGGACCCTGCTGGCCGCAGCTTTGTCCATGGTGCCGGTTTTACAGTTCCGCACGGTTCATGGTTTGGGGCTTGCAATTCCCGCGCTGCTACTGCCCATGAGCATTGCCACCTCTCATTCCACTGTTTCGGAAGCTTGTGGACCGACCATGACTTATGCAGTTTGCGATGTTGCATTGGTCCGTTCGCAGTCAGAAGCATCTTCATAGGGTTGCACTTGCATTCTGACATCAGTATCCTAGGTTTTTACAAGCGTGTTGATGAGAATATGGCAGGAGTCTCGAGTGTGGTAAATCTTTAAAGTCGTAATGCTGTATTGCGCTTTCGAAGGCTTCGAAGGGGATTTCGACCGTTTCTGGGTGTGCTTTCCAATTTCAGCTGCATGCAGAATCGACAGTGTGACATGTTAGTTCGTTGAATTGCAGTCCCCTTTACATTTTTCGCAGAAGTCGAGTGGCAATGCAACAACATCTTGAATGTCAGGATCGGATAGAAACGATGTCAAATCGGCTCGCATCGACAGGTAACTCGAGACTTGCGGTGTCCATCGCCCTTTCACATTGACTGCTTCGTTGTCTTTTCATGGTCTGGGCATTGTTTTGCTTCAGAACTGTTGGTTTCTCTGTTCACTGACTCTGTTTTTTGATATTGCTCCTGCTGTTTTCTGAGCTCCGTTTGTAAATGTCCTGTTGTGTGACTTCCTCCTGCCTGTTGTTGCTATTCCGCACCTTATTGGCTCCCCGGCCGACAAACGAAGTAAGCCTTCGCCTTCTTTTGTGGCTATGTAACCGAGTCTAACCATCTGTTCATGCTTCTTCGCTGTGCTCAAGGTGCCCCTGTCCTTGATGAAGGACCTCGCCCCGTTGAGATATGCATCCATCGCAGGCAAGTGACAATCGAGAGACTAGAGTGACGCTGCAGAATCCAAAGAGGCCTTGCAGCCACGGCCTACGTCTTTCTGATGCTCTTGAAGGACGGTTTTCACTCCTCTAGCTCCCCTTTGCCTGTCTCTTTCTTTTGTTGAAGGACTCCGTCAGCTCCGCACGATGGGGTGAGGATGGACCGCTGGCGAGCAACGTGTCGCCCATGCGCAGCCCGGCAAGCAGTTAGTACTCCTTGAACCCATCCGGTTAAGCTCCGACCGGCTCTCTGAGGCCTCGACTTCTTCGAGGCCAGCAGCGCAAAAAGCGGGAGAGTTTCGCCGGGAGTGCTGCTGCCTGCATCCCAGGCCTTGGCGCTCTTTGGCTCGGCCTTCATGGCCCGAAAGCCCAGGGCCGGCGCAACAAAGAAGCGAAGCAGAGCCAACGGCGTAGGTGCCATGGCCCACGGCTGTTCTTTGAGTCTTTGAGGCCCACTACAATGCGCCGAAGTTCTACGCTCAACTGCAGGAGTCGGAGGGAAGCGCGACCAGGGAGATCCTCAACTAATTCGTCCGCCGGGAATGGGCCTGATGAAGGGACAACTGAGTCCGTGGCTCTTTGCGGCCGGTCAGACATTTTGCATTTCGGGGTCAGGCTCCGCAGGGTGTGGAACCAACTCAGACGGTGTGCCGACTGCACTAGATCCCACTCTGGGACCTTGGTGGTATTCCAAGCTGAGAAGGACATGACGCCGGGTTCACTTCGGAGATGTCGGCCACAGACGCACCCAAGAACTGAGATGCTCCGTGCAAGTCCATAAATCCGGCCCAATTCCCAATTCCCCTCGGGCTTTCTGTTTCCGGATAAAGGCACGCACATTCGAACGATAGCGACTCGCGGCTGACGAGCGAAGCTGCCGCAGCGGTCGGCTGAAGATTGCAAGATGGCGACCGGCGAGGGATCCTATTTTGAAACAGGCGCTCTTCTGGCGGTTCAAGGGCGCATCCTCCACTTGCAAACTTGCACGTCGAGAGCTCGACATCAGCGACAAATCCAGGACTTTCGATTGCTTGAACCTTGCCCCCCTCGCACCCCCGACGTAACCCAAGATCTGTGGTGGCTCAGCATCGCAGACCCCTTGGTCTCGCAGCCTTTCGTCCTGTCCTGTTGGAAAACGAGCATCGAGCTTAGGCTTCGACTTCACCTAGCCAGGAGAAGTCAGTGCCCAAGTTCGCCGTTCTGGTGTGCATGGCGTACGGCTTGGCTCTCGTTGTCTTCGTCGCTGGGCACCCAGCGGCGTGTTTTGTTGAGCCACTGCGGGTTCAAAGACAAAGAGTTTCCTTTTGGGTCGAGCACAGGCCTTCGGAATGTGCGGCTTCGCCTTGTTCGGCTACGACTCGGACAGCTGGGGTTGGGCGGCTGAGCGGATGTCATCAGAAGCGTGGCACTGCGGCACCGCAGGAAGGCAACATCTTGAAGAACTATGGCTTCGGTCCGGAAGCGTCTCGGCCCGTCCTTGTTTAATGCGTGTGTTGTGCCGAGTTTCTGATTTTCGTTTCAGATGCTGAGGTGATGCTGGCCTGGCTCAGCATGGGCTTCTCCGTGGCCTTCACATACCCGCTGGTCTTCAGTGGCTTCCGCGACTCCTGTGCCTCCCTGTGCGCAGCCCGGGACACGGGGAGCAAAAGGCGCAGCCTTCAACTGCGCCTGCAGCCTCCTGCAGCCTGCAACTGAGGCTGAGTGGCTTTGGCATCGCCGAATCTAGCAGCTTCCGACTGTGCCAGCCCCAGAGTCTCTCTGAAGCTGAGTCAGAGGAGTTCATGTGGCTTTCAGGAGCTTCACCCTCGTGGCCGTGGCTGCCACGATCTTGGGTGGAACGATCTTTAGCAACGTGGCGCAGGTGAACGGCGTCAAAGGCACACTGGGAGTGCTTCTTGAGGGACTCAGAAGAGAGTAGAGTCCTAGAGGTGCCATCCTCAGCCCTTGCCTGGCTTTCATCTACCCGGCGGCCATCCATCTCAGGCCCGTCAGAAGTGGACCGCGTGTCGGAGTGGCTTGAGACCCGTAAAGGGCGGCCGGGGCTGTAGGTCCACGGCGAAGGACAAGGATGCTCCGGCTTCCCTGGTGGCGATGCGGCGGGGAAGTTACGGCCCGGCGCCGAGAGGCAGCAGATACCAGCAGCAGAAGCAGCAGAAGTTGCCGGTCCCTCGCGCTCCTGTGAGCTTGTTTCTGCTGCTCACTGCACTTTCAAGCGGCGCCTCTCGTGACCCTTCCCGGCCTTGTCGAAGCCAGGCCCTTAGTGCCTTGGTCTTCCTGGGCCCAGAACCTCCCCTCACCTCCCTCCTCCCAGACTCCCAGATCAGAATAGGAATTGCGCTTTCTTGACTAGGCCATGGCTGACGGTGCGACAGGCAAGGCCGCAGGCAAGGGCCGAGGACAGGGAACGCCGCCGCCAATCTTTCCTCGCCTCGCCGCCCCGCTCGGATACCGCAGCTCAGGACCTCCGCCTCCGCCTCCGCCTCCCTCCGGCCACGTCCCCGTCTTTCAGAAAACTTCAAGTTTATTAAACAAAAAGCGCCCACCGCTTTCGAAAGCAAAGGCAAGGCCGCCTCGAAGGGATCCAAGCACGCGGGGAGCGGCTCTTCGCTCGGAGCGAAGCCAAATCTTTGAAGTGGCGGTTCTATGCGGTTCCTGGAGAAGGGAGAGGAGTCGGAGGGAGCCCGCAAAACTCGAGGTGCACCCGAGTCCATCCAGATCTTAGCAGTTCTTATGGACCGCGAGCTGTGCCGGGTGCATGAGCTGAGTGACAACTGCGCTTTGCTTCTTGCCCTTCCAGGACGGTCGGGAGTTCTCCTTGCAGATCGAGTGCCTCGAGTATAGTAGGACTGTTTTTGAACTCTTCGGAATGCAGCTGCCGCGTCTAAACCCTGCAAAACTCAACTCCCAAACTGTTCCAAACTCCTCCCAAGAAAAACACGTTGAGAAGAGCTCAGGTGCGAGGGTCGCGTGGAGGGCCTCCGGATGTCTCTGGGCACACGGCTGGGCATCAGCTCGCATCGAGTGAAGCTAGCTTTGGGGGCCGAGGCGCCCCAAGGGTCCAAAGTCCAAGGCTCTCGGACTCTAGCAGGACGGCTTTTCACTTTCAGAGCGCTTCCGGAAAGCTTTCGGCGCAGGGGCGTTTCTGAGAAGGGTTCTCCAAGTGTAAAGCCGCAGTAGCGGACAATTTCAGATCGTGCGCGTCCGCGCGAGTTGGGTCCCAGAGTCTGGGCGTGTACGAAATGCGAAAGCCAACTTTCATTGCGGCTTAGGCGTTGGAGGCCGTAGGTCGGCGTGTGATGGTATGAGAGGTTTAGAGGCTTCAGGGGTTCAGTGCTTGACAGGTTTGGATATAGGATTTACGTTTGAGTTCGGGTTTGTACTCGTAGCCGCGACCGAGTGGATTCGTCCAGGTTCTGAAGAACGAGTCGACTGCCAGGCGGGAGCCAAGTTCTCATCTGGAGCAGCCACGTGTGGCCCTTCGACTTCGCCGCTCAGGGCCTGCGGCCTTTCGGACGGCTGCGTTGTGAACGTGGTGATCTTGCCGCCGCTGTCCCTTGGACCTTGACTCGGAGTGCCGGAGCTTCGGTCACCGGAAGCAAGCCTGCGATCGCAGGTACGGCACCCTGGGGCGTGCAGGAGTGGCCGCACCCGGGGAGGCTGCACGCCTCTGGGTACAGTACTGCAACGACGGTGTAGCTTGGGGGTCTCCGAGTAGCCTCGTCATAGCTCAGTCCCTGCAAAGCCGTTTCTAAGTCACTGACCGCAAGATGCTGCACATCGCCCCGGCCCGAACCTGTCTGTGCTGAGCCATCGCAGGTCGTTGCTGCGAAGATGGAGCTTCATGATGCGCTGGCTCAGGCAGGCAAGCTGACGCCGATCCACACTTGATAAGGCTGCAGGCGTAGGTGGCTATCAAGGCCAACGGTGCAGCCACTTCGGTGACAAGACCGTTGCGTCGAGTAGAGCATTCGTTTCGCGACTTCGTGCTCCGTGCCCAGTGTTCAGCTGCGGGCAAAGCTCCCGGTCCACATGCGAAGGCGGTGTACAGTCCTCACGCTTCGTCGCTTGCATCTCCGGGACAAAGAAGTCAACATGAGCCACATTCACTTCCCACTCTGAGCAGCGTGCACTTCGCTTCTCTTCTCATCTCTTCTCCTCTTCGCCTGCCTCGCCGAGGCCTAATTGCCTTCGGCCTGGCTTTCGGAGTGCTGGCCTTGCTGGCCATCCACTCGGCGTTCCGCTCGCCTTTTCCGGCCTTTGCTTCCCTTGGCCCCTTTGGGCTCAGGTGATGTTCGCCCTGCCGAAGACCGACTTCACGGAGCTTGCAACTGCGTACCCCTCCGGGATGTAGCGGTGCCGTGGAACAACACGGCGTGGCATTATCTTAGCATGCTGCTCTGAGCAAACAGTTAAACAGCAGCCCGCAGACGTTCGAGTGCCCAAAGCGGCTATTCTACAAGGTTCCACAGAGTTCTTGGCAAAAAGATGCTTGCACCGCTGAAACCTCTAAGTGAACCCAGTGGTATTTCACGTCGCCTGAAGCGCAGGCAGTTCGAAGTCTACCATTGGAACCTGGAGCCCGTCCGCGTCCAGCGGGCCGCTCGGGCGCTGCGGGGCACGGATCCGCGTGTTTGCGCGAATCTAAGCTTCCAAGGCTAAAGGCTGCATCGGCCGGCCGAGATGCCGGGCTCATAGGCCTGTCCAGTCAGGTTACGGGTGCTTTCGGGCTGCTTCAGGGCAGGAGGTGCTTAGGGCCTAGGGGGCTTCGGCACGTCCGCCGTCTCATCGGACCTAGTTTTCCCCTTCCCTCCAACATCCTCCGACGAAGGTGCGGCCAGAGCGGCGATGCTCGCGCATATCGCGGACCACACTTCCTGAATCTCCGCTCGAAAGAACTGGGGCGTGCCGGACTCCTGCATGCTCCATCGCTGCCTCTTCCAGGTGTAGAGTTAGGGAGCGAGATGCTGATGCTGTAATCTGTAATACGTCCAAGCACTCGCGCTGGCGTAAACCGCTGCAAATCTCTTTGGACGTGTGGCTTACGCCGTCAAAGTCCGTCAAAGACTGGGTTCCACGGCTTTTCATGCAGTGAAAATCACTCCACAACGACCATCTACAGTGGGTTCCACGGCAGTTTCCACGGCTTTTCTTTGTGCAGTGAAAACCACTCCGCAACGGCAACCTCGACGACCTCAGGAATGGACGGCGAAAAGGAGTGCTTGCGAGACAGTTTCTGAGACAGTGTTTGCATGAGTAGTTGCATGAGTGTCTGCATGTCAACCTGTTGTGTCAACTCCCGAAGCCTAAAACCCAGGACATGCACGACCCCTCTGAAATACATTTCTCGTGCCTGTTGACCCCACAAGGGACTAATGTATTTCTCGAGGGGGGGCCCCAAAAAAGGAGTTGGAGCCGGGTGTCGCCGTCAAAGGTTCGTGCCAATCAATCGCATAGACAACCACGTGTGCAAGTACTTGTCAGAATTGGTCGGATGTGCACAGAAACAGACAGACCGACACGTAGACACCAAGACCCCATCCCAGAGTCTCAAAACCACCCTCTTCGTATCGTAAAGAAGGCCCTACTTGTAGGACAAGGGGATTGGGCCCTCCGGCGGATGGCGTCCGAGCCGCTTGACAGGACATGGACACGCGGCTAGTAGTCGACCGTGCGGTTCGGAGTTCAGAGTCCCGTGCCGCCGTGCCGAGGGCAGAGCTTCCGGATGAGCGCCTGCAAGAAGCGGTCCGGCTGCTGCTGAAAGGCCGCGACCTGGCTGGGACCTCCTTGAAAGAGGCGGGGGCGCCCAGTTACCTGAGACCGCCGAGACTGAGATCCGCATAGGTGCGAGCCGACTTGGAGAAGAAGTTCAACCTAAGTGCGGAGCTTTGCCAGGTGCTTCTTCGCCCACGGTTCCAGGGAGTCTCGCAGCACGAAATGGAAGTGTTCACAAAGGCTTGTGAAGATAGCGCCTGGGGGCCGCAACGACAAGAGAGATGCATAAGAGGGAACACCAGACAAAGGAGCGGCGGCATGCAGTAAACAACAGGACAACAATGCAGCACTGGTGGCTTTGTCAACTAACTTGTCGGAAGAACGGCAAGGGTGCACAAGATTGCGAAAGATCAAGAAGCTCGCCATCGAGTTAAACGGTCTCGCTCACCATGGAATGCTTGTGAGCTTTGAGACGGTCAGCTTAGTTCGGACCAACAGGCACATGTGGCATATGTCGCATACGTCGCGGAAGATGGTCGAACCTTGAGCGAGCAAGTTCGACATGCCGTGCAAGATTCGGGTGCAGATTTGGAGTGGGACATGGGAGGGCGGACACCGGAATCTTTGAAGCTGAGCGTCGTTGGGATGTTTCCTCCTGTAAGTAAGCATGCGGATGCGACCACATTCAAACTCCTTGCGGTGCCTGTCTTCAAAAATGCTGTACAGTTGACGAGCAGGCAAGATTTCAAGACTTTGAAGTGGAGATGATGTTTGTGTGCATTCGGCGAATGGCGGTCAGAGCAGGAGGAATCATTCACTACCACAGTTTCTTCTTGCTCGAAAAAGGGTAGACGGGTAGACAGCCAGAATATGAATAGTCATGCGTTGTGTACGCAGACCGCCTGACTTTTCGTGCGATGTCTTGCCGGGAGGGTTTGCTGCAGTTTCGCATTGCTGGCAGAATTGTGTGGTCGCATGTAATTCCACCGCAATTCCAGAGAGCATGAGGTGCCGGCAGCCTCGACAGCAGGAGGGAAAAGGTCCGCGCCGGGATCCGGGATGGGCTGCGGCCCTGATGGGTTCTGTCCCTCGTGCGCGAGGTGAAGCAGTTCGTCGCGGAGGAGATCTCTCGGATCCAGGCAGAGCCGATCTCGGCTTCCTGCGAGGCTCTGGGAAGTAGCCGGCACCACTCCACCAGGCTGGCGAGGCCGAGGAGGCCGAGGAGGCCGGCGAGGAGGCCCAGGAGGCCGACCTTGGTGGAAAAGGGGGCCATGCAAGCTCAGAAGCGCAGTGTCAGGATGGAGAGGCGCAGGAGGAGGAAGAGGCCTGGGCAAAGATGAGTTTGCGTGAAGCAGGGCTTGCGGCGGCCTGCACCGAGGCCAAAGAGCCCCCAAAGGCGTCGAAGCCGCGCGGTTCCAAGCGCGGCAAGGAGGCGAAAGCGTCGCCGCCAGACGCCAAGCGGGCAAAAGGAACCGCAGAGGCGAGGGCCTCGTGGTTTGAAGTGCTTTGGGGTTTCCGTGCCGATGCTCGTTCGCAGTTCATAGGAAGGTGGGATGCCGTAGGATGCCATAGGAAGACGGGGAGCTGTCGCAGGATCCGCCGCGAAGATCCACAAGCGGTGAAGGCATGACATTCCTGATCCCGAGTCAGGTTGTCCATATGTCGGTTCTTGCAAACCTTGAAGATCTCCTTCTGGTTCGCGTTGTCGCAGGCAAGGGCAAGGGGAAGATCAAAGACCGACCGGCCCTCGGGTTCTAGCAACACCGGAGAGTTCTGGGGATCCCGAGCCATCCGAGCACTGAGGCCAGAGCTCCAGCATGACTCGAGAGGCCGAAATTGAAAGCTGCTCTGCTCGCTGCTCGCCTGATGATTTACAATTTTCTCGTGTTGCTAGGAGTTCATGGCGAAGGCCAAACCCATCACCGCCGCACGGCCAAACAGCCGCCGAGGCTCCCTTTGGATCCTTCCCTACCACGAAAAAAGACTGTTGAGGTGACCATCGGAGACAAGACATTCAAGGCGTGGCCTCAGGGAACTGCTTGTGCTGTCAAGCAACAGCAGCGGATTGAAGGCGGCGCCGAAGCTCTTCTCCACGGGCAGCTGTGGCTTCATGGCCAGCACGAAGGCCAGGGCCAGGGAAGGGGTTTGGGAGGGCCCGGCAGTGGCCGCCTCACTCGGAGTTTTGCAGTGCAGGTCCCCGTGGAGGTGGGCGGTCAGTCCCTTGTGCTGCAGCACAGCCGGCGGCTTTGAGAGGGCCTGGGGGTCTGTGCGCATCACCCCGAAAGGTTGCTTGAGGCCTGAAAGGCTGAGACTTTCCATAATTGGGTGCTTACGTCTCACGATCACGGGCGTCCGTTGGTTGGATTCATTTCTGCTGGAGCTGATAGGGATTGAAATTGTCTTGCAGGGGCGACATCATGTTAGAAATCGAAGCAGCGAATGCGAAGTGGCAAGTGTGCTGTACTCTGGAGTCCTTTCCCGTCCCCAATCTTGTGTGCCAGGTGCGGCTTGAACTTGCCAGTGATCGGATCCAAGGAGTGGAGCGACTAGCCGGAGCGTCCCGTCCAAGTCGTGTGGTGTTGATCGGCTCTTGCACTTCCGCCAACTGCGCCACATGCTAATGCATCCATTTATCGTCGCCTTGGGCTGGGATTGCATGCGACAGTCAGCCAGAAGGTGCTGAAGGCCAAAGGTGCTTGGTTTCACTTGTCGACATGCAGATTTTTTGCAGCATGTCGAGCGTCTAGAGTCGGGCCGTCTTTCAATGCACGTGTGCATACAGAACGTTCAGATATTCCACCCCTGTCAACGTGGCCGTATCAGCATGAACAGGAAGTAGACGCCAGTAGCATCTGAAATCCTTGGCGCCCGAGCGCGTGGAAGTGACTCGGTGCAGCAACCGGGTTGGCTCGGCACTCCTCACCCTCACTCCTCACTCTCACGCTCACCCTTACCTTCATCCTCACTCTCACTCCTCGCTCCTCACTCCTCACCCTCGCTCACTCCTCACCCTCACTCTCACGCTCACCCTTTACCTTCATCCTCACTCTCACTCCTCGCTCCTCACTCCTCACCCTCGTTCTCGCGCTCACCCTTACCTTCATGCTCACTCTCACTCCTCGCTCCTCACTCCTCACCCTCGTTCTCGCGCTCACCCGCTCCTCACTCCTCACCCTCACTCTCACGCTCACCCCGCTCACCCGCTCCTCACTCCTCACCCTCGTTCTCGCGCTCACCCTTACCTTCATCCATCGCAAGGCCTGGCCCTGACAGGCGACCGTGACAGCGTTCTTGTTGAATGGATGGTATACAAGCTGCTGCGGGGTGGTGCAGCCATGTCTGGGAGAAGCGAACGTTGGCCAGTTGCATCTCTTCACTCGCTTTTTGCAAGCGACTGAGACTAGTTTGCAATCTCGCACCATGGTTAGCACTTGGTAGGTAGGTTTCCTGCAAGACATGTGAGCTTCAAGGATCGCGGGCAGACCCAAACGAAGATATTGCAAGAGAGCTGGCAGTGGTGGCACACTTTGAAGAATCAGAAGAGCCTGCAGCGCTGCCTGCGATGCTAGCTGCTAGCCAGAGCAGTCTACTCGCAGGTGAGTTGCCTAGGACTAGGACCAGATCGTCGCATCAGTCTCCCATCACATCCAGCAAGACGGAGGCGGAGGCAGTGGAGACCATGCAGCGTGACAAGGGGCTTTGGGCCCTCCTTCAATGCTTCGTCGCTGGCCGGGTCTATGTTGCAAGGACGTCAGCTGGACGAAGACCCAGAAGTCGAAGAGCCGAAGCTGCGACAAGGGCGTTGCCACGCGAGCGCAGTCCCAGTGGCCATCAAGCGGTCTGGAGCTCCGCCGCCGTGCAAGCGAAGTGCCGAGAGGTACCCTGCGCTTGACGATCTGCACAAAAAGCGCGGAACTCGCCACTCGCGAGACAGTCTATGTGGCCGTCCCAAAAATATGCGCTCCGCACCTTCTGCATCAGAATTGTCTGTGTGTGGGTCAGGATGTCACTCTTTTCACGGCGCTCCCACATGTTGACACGGGCTCTGTCCTGGCTCATATCCTCCCCGCCACGCCCCAATAGCTTACCATGCGGCTCGTACGCGATCTTCCGAAAGCTGAACTTGGAATGACTCCACAAGACGCCCGCCAGCAGATCTCTCTCTCTCTCTCTCTCAAAAACAGATCTATTAGGTCTCCACTGAACGCATGAGCCGCAGCAAGAGCCGAGCCCAGAAAGATCGCAGGATGCCACGATGCCGCGCAGCTTAGCCAATTAATTGACATGTGCCATGGCGGCGTTGACCACGGTGAACCAGCTGAGCCTGGAGTCGCCCAGTCGAAAGCTTGGCGAAGAGAGTCTGAGAGTCTGAGGGCTTTGAGCTCCAAGGTATCCCTTCGAGGAGCTCCAGCAGGCCCTTCCTGCCACAGAGCCGCAGAGGAGATGAGGTGTAGGGAAGCGCCTCAGGCCACGCACGATTTCTGCGGCAACCTGCGGCTAGGCCCAGGGGCCCGAAAGGATCGGGACGTCATGGCTTCACATTCACATGGCTTCAGGCTACGGATCCTTTGGCGGAGTCTTTCGGGGCATCCAAAAGGATGGCACAGAGGTGGCCATCAAGGCCCTCGGCTCGGCCATGCCTGGGTAAACCAGCATGGTGTCCTACATTTTTGCAGTACATTCAGGTGCTAGACGTGGGCGATGAAGGCGGCTTTGAGGACGCTTTGCGGTATGCGCTCTCAGTGTGATGGATGGTGCTTCGGCCTCCGCTTGACTCGTTTGGTGGCGCGTTGGTTGGCAGGAGGAGGTGCGCGTCCTGAGCAAGTTCCGACATCCAAACCTGGTGATTCTGATGGGCTTTGCCCGCCATGGGTCCGACTGCTCAGAAGCATCTCGGATTCCCGGAACAATGCCAACTGGTGCAGGCCCCAGCGGTTCCTTGTCTACGAGCATCTAGCGGGTGGCGATGTCTTCCGACGCCTGCAGCGGTGTGCCCAAGACAACGTGCCCGGCCCCGCCCCATGCTTGCTTGCAGTGGGCATGGAGGGAGCGGAGTCTTGGCTCTTGGAGCCTGAGCTGGAGGTACCGTTCACTTGGCGAGAACGTCTCAGCGTGGCCTTCGACGCGTCCTGCGGTCAGGCCCTCAGATGTCTTTCTGCGCTCCTGCTTCGCTTTCGCGCTGAGGGCTCTCGCATCTCCACAACGCGTCGCCGAAGGCTCCCTTGGCCTGACTCGGTGTTTGCTCCGCTTTTTGCTTCTAGCCAGTGCTAGCCAGTCTAGCCTGTGGATTCTGGATACTACTTGTGAGTGCAACACGTGCAGTCAAGCTTGCAAGAAGATGTACGGGCATCTCTGCCTGCATGTACTTGTGTTGGATTTTATGCTATGCCCCGAAGACCTGAGAAGCGAGGTGCCCCGAGAGCACACTCTTCCTCGCATTGACCCGATCATCCCTACAGTGTGTGACGGCTGTTGTGAAGTACGTTTGGAAACACCGCTTTCCGGAGACCATAGTACGCGCACGCTGATGAATGTGTCTTTGAGTTTGTGAATATGTGTGTCTGTGTGAGAAAAAGCTCTTGGCTTTGTGTTTTTTTGCATGTCTCCATGCTCACAAAGCGGGAGCTTGTTCAAATTTGTTGAGCTGATCATGGCGTTGCACGGAGTTGCAAGGATGTGGTTGTGCACACACTGTGGCTCAAGCACAGACCTGCGACAACAGCCCCCTTCCAGCTGCTGGTGACGAACCCTGCTGGCATGATGCTGCTCCGCTTATTCGAACTGCTGCCCGTTTCGTGGTGTGGAAAAGACATCCTATCTCATTCCACGAACCATGGAGCTTTGGGACTTGTACAACAAAACCAAATACAGCATTGAAGCATTCCCACATCTTCCGTTTCCCGCCCTCGTACCAGCCCCTGCAAAGGCAGGTTTGACAGCCTCAACACTCTATCTAGCACCTATGAGGAGCCGCAAACAGGAAAGCCTGCGATCAGTGCCCTAGAGTTCGTCCCTGCAGTCCTGGCCAACTACTCCTCCGTCGATGAAGTCTTGACAACGCTTGAAGCAGCGAGCGTCCTGACTCCTTTCGTGCCTGGTGTTCCGGAGGAGGTGCTCAAGACCACTACCTTGCATTGGGCGATCCATGACGAATCTGGCGATTCGGTAAGTTTCGAATACATCCAGGGCAAGCGGATGGTTCGTTCGTGAGAACTTCTGTGACGGCCGAGCGCTTTTCATCCAAAATGTACCGGCCATCGCACCTGGTCCATGTCAGAAACATGGACCAGGTGGAGGGCGATGGCCGGTGCTGTTTGGATGTCAAGCGCTCGGCCGTCACGGAAGAGAACGGAACAAGAGTTATGACCAACGACATCCAATGGCACTAGAGGAACTTGAACGCGCGTGTGCACTTGAGCCATGTGAGTCCCAGCTATCCGTATCAAAACGACATGCTGCAGGTCAAGACAAACGATGCGGTGGGCACCGTCCCGCATCCGATGGCCCACGGCTGGAACCTTTTTGGTCTGCTTGGAGACACCACGTCACCATTCCGCTTCATCCGCTTTTTTTCTACCTGCCATGCCGGATACTCCATGGAATCAAGCCCCATCAAGCGCTTCGAGGATGCTGTGGTGTCGGAACCTGCTCTTCTCAACAATGTCTTTATCCCCTGCGGTCCAGTCGCTGGCGGATCCCAGCTGAGCCGAGTGACGGCCCTGAACTCACGGACTATGCTGTCCTGAAGGCTCCGAAGGAGAAGGTCTACATGGTCCGAGGAGATCGCAACGCGCAGTGGCGGAAAATTGACCTCAAGAGGCTGGACTTCTCCAAGGGCACCACGTGGCCGCTTGAAGACGGGTCGCTGGGGATCGTGGACATCACCGATGTAGGCGACAGCGGTGGAGTCTTTTGAAACAAGTTGCACGATGTCAATGCAGCGAGCTCGTGGCGGCCTCGCACCCCTTGCCTTGGCCTACGTAGATCTTGTCCCGGTTGCGCAGGACTCTGCTTCTTCTGTACAGTTGCCAACGCGGCCGGCTAGGCTCAGCGCACGTATGGGAATATGGTCAGAGGCAGAGCAGCACCGGTGCTCCTGGACACAGAGCATCACCACACACACCTGTGATGAGAAGTGAGGGCGCTTGCATGCGAACTGAAGGACACATCTGAGGTTCGCAAATGAACGCAGCAGTGCAGTGCCTGCAGGTTTTTCATCGCGACATCAAGTGCCCCAACATCTTGTTGGTGGTGGGCCCAGTCACGTGTGCGTCGTCACATGCACTGCAGACTCACTGCGGCGTCAGCTCCTGAGGATCGCAATGGCACTGCCAAGATTGCCGACTTCGCCGGGAGCCGAGAAAGAGAGCTTTGGAGGGTGATGCGAACCAGGGTCAGGGTGTGGCCGCTTGTGCTCACGAAGCTTCATGGCACGGCAGAGAGGCAGTTTGATCTTGTTTCTGGATCTTGCCAGTTGCCAGACGATCCCATGAGAGGCATTGTTGAGCAAGCTTTCCCAACCAAATTTGAGCTCGGTGTCATACAGATGATCCGAACTTCCAGTGTAAGTTCCCGAACGGGAATCTGCAGAGTTCGGTGCTGGTGGTGGGCCGCTGCACCGAGGGCTTGGCTTGCTGCTCCCACTACAAGGAGCAGAAGGTCCAACAGGTGCCGCGACCGGACAGGCATGTGCGCAGAAACCACCTCCTCTTCACTCCGCAGCTGACAAGGCCGCGGGGACCGTGGGCTACGCCTGTCCGCACTATGTCAACAAAGGGGTGGTGACAGAGGGCAGCGAGGTGGGGGGGAGTTCGGGAATGATGTCATCGTGTGGAAAGGAGGAAAGTGTTGCAGCAGGGATTGCTCTGGAGACCGAGGTTTACTCTTTCGGCATTGTGCTGCTAGAGCTCCTGACCGCGGCACAGCCGGCCTACCAACTGCCGACACAGGCGGCCACAGCAAGGCACGGTGCTGCCGTCACCTGCCGTCATCTGCGCAAGCTGAGGCTCCCGATGGCGGCGCGCAGTACTGCTTCTTGGTCAGCCAGATCGGGAACGACGCGCGCGTGGCCGTGCAGATGGCCGACGCCAAGGCCCGCGACTCGCGACTCTCCCATGCTGCCGTGCCGCCTCGTGCCGCCTCCCTCTCTCCTCTCTCTCCACTCTCTCTCTCTCTCTCTCTCTCTCTCTCCCTCTCTCTCTCTGAGTCTCTTGAGGGTTCGAGGGGGGAGGGTACAGATACTGGGGGATCCTTAGGGTCTCATGGAAGCTTTTAGGGAATGTTGGGGAGCATTAGGGAGAATAGGAGAGTGTTGGGTTGTGTAACACCCCTTGAGCCCCCCTTAGCTCGAGGATTCCATAAACCCTGTTCTTCCGCTGCTCTTGTCGACATCTCTCTCTCCCTCTCCCTGTCCTCCCCTCTCCCTGTTCTTCCCTCTTGCCTCCTCGCCCTCCTCTTCTCTGCAGCTTTTTTTCTCCGCGTTTTCTCTGAGGCGAGGTTCCCTCCAACCATTGCCATGAGCTTCGCAGCGCTCGGGCTCCGCTGCACGGATTACACGGAGGAGCCTCGGAGTTCGCAGCTCTGCGCCTCTCCGCGCTGTGGCACTTTGCTGCCCTCTTTGAAGTTGGGGTCCGGTCCCCGGCCTGCCGCCCTGCTCAGGAGTGCCGCCCGCTTTTTCGGGAGATCGTGACGAAGCTGAGGGCCCTCTTGAACACTCCCGAGGCCGGGGTGGCCAGGCCAGGTCAGCAAGAGCAAGGCGGCTTCTCTCCTGCTCCCAGGCCCCTGCGCCACCACCTCCTCCGGAGCCCGAGGCGTCTGTGCGACAGACCCGCCACGGCTACCAAAGCCCCGGCTACCAGCGCCCACACGCCTTTCAAGATGGCCGCGGCTACCAGCCCCCCCCCCAGCTTCAAGGTCTCGACACGCTTCCGGGCTTCCATCCGGGCTACCCCTCGGAGGAAGAGAGGCGCCTGCCCTCGGTACACCGCCAAGCTTCCACGCAGGAGCGCTTCCAAGGCAAAGCCTTTCCCAACCTTGAAAGAGCTTTAAATGGTTGATGGTTATTTCTATTGTGTCCAAAGGCTGTTAGAGTCTAAGAGCTCTCCCCCCTCGTGGGCCTCTTTGTTTCTGGGGAGGCAATTCGGTGCAAGTGAATTTGCTTAGCGGGCCCCCGAGCCCTGCTAGCCGGGACCTCAGAGCTCCGAAGCCTGCAAAGCTGCCCTCTGTGCAGGCTCTGGGCTCTCTCTTTTTTTTTTGCTGTCCGAGGCCTTCAGTTAGCGCCCGGCTCTGGCCGACCTCTTTGCCCCGGCCCAGGGCTCCAAGGGCTCTTACAAGCGCCCAGCCGGGCCTTGCTCTGGACCCTCGAGCCGCCGCCTTTGCCTCCTCGGCTCCTCGGAGCGCGTTCTGCGGACTTCGCAGACCCGATCCTTAGGTGCGTGAAGTCGGAGTGCAGCTCCGATCTTTCGGCCAAGCCCAAGGAGGGCTCTTGCTCCAGTCCTTTAGAGCATGCGACGTGGTGTCTGGTTTGCGATTTTTCTGCCAGGACCAAAGAGTCCTGGCACACTGGAGAGACATGCTCCCCTACGACAGGGACATGGCCCACGCCTTGCCTCGTGGCTGCAGTGCGAGACCCTTTCTTGTGATAGCTCAAGTCGTACCCAACCATCTCGGCGCTTTCAGGCCCCACTATCGTTTCGGCCGTTTGTTTCAGAACGACTTCTGCCGGCTCATGCTTCCGGTGTGGATCCCAGCAGATATCGGACGCAGTTGCAGTTTCGCTCCATGGATTGATTGGCTGTTCGCTGTGTCCAAACGGGGCCTAGGGACTAGCAAGTGTGCAGCACTGTAGCAGCCGAGAACGATCACTTCTTCTCGCAAGTGTCGCGAGAACACTTCCAGATCTGGGTCGCGATCTCAGGTCTCGCAGCGTCGTGATTGATCCGTCGCGCTAGACTAGGGCCTAGGGCGGATGTATTGCGTGAAACGTCGGGAAGCTCGTGATGCCTCATGACGCTCATGCCGATGCCGATGCAGTCGGCTATGTTGCTTCCCTAGCCCTAGGCCCTAAGGCCCTAGCCCCTAGCCCCGATCTGCTCGGAGCTCAGCCGGAGAGACTCCGTGAGCCGAGGCTCAAGAATGGCCGGATCTGGGCTTTGACTTCAAGGGCCAGCCTTGCTCCTGTCGGGCGCTATGTCGGAGCTCTGCTTTCAAGCTCTCGCTTTGCACTGCTTTGTGCAGTCTTCCTTACGAACTTCGGCACCGTTGGCACCGTGGTGGACGGCCAAATTCTCGACACGAAGGGTCAGCAGGCCGCCCTGCACCACGGTGCGGCGCTGAGAGTTCGCATAGCGCAGCCTGCGTGTAACACTGCGGACTGTTTGTCGCGATATGGGGCTTTCGGCGTAGGAGGGGGGCATGGGCCACAACTGAGGCAGTCGCATCGCCCTGCTCCGGAATGCAACGGACAACGGCCGGGAATCAAAGGCCTCACTGATGCCACAGAAGGTCTTTGTGCATCTGAGTGTGTGTTTTCTGACGCTTGACACCGGTCAGGTGGAGTTCTTGGAGTTCATCTTCAGTCTGGAAGGGCCCGGCCCTCTTCTAGAACTTGCAATCCCCGCTGGTGTGACACTGGGGACAATCTGCCGTTCGCTGCTCGCTGGCTCTTCCTCAGCTGTCGCTCGGTCAGCAGGGCAAGTCCTTTGTCAGGTCTGTCCTGGAGGATGCAGATGTCAGAGCCTGAGCTGAGACGGAAGCACCCGGCCACAGCGCGGCAATACCATCTCTGTAGATCCGGGCCCACCCTCACCATAGAGCCATGGAGCTGGCTGAGGAAATCTACGAGGCCGTGCCAGGTTCTCGGAGGACGCGGCGCCGCGGTGTGCCTCGCACGAAGCCGATGTACCGAGAACGTGTCCTGCAGGAAAAGCTTGTCCTCGTACTGCAGAGCCGACATTTTAGGGATGTCTTAGTTTCACGCTGTCCCGATGTGAAGGAGTTGCGATGCACCTTCCGCGCCTCTTCTCGGAGGTGCCACCTGCACCGTGGTATGCTCCCCTTCGAAAGCAGTGCAGGAAAGGATGGCAGACACAAAACGCATCATCAGAAGGCCTTGAGTGTCCACCTGGGTCATCCCTTCCACCATGATTACTGGTCCTGGTGCGCCAGCCTAGCCAAAAAGGGTTAGGCGCAGCATCTCGAAGCCCTTAGCGTCGAAGCATCGCAGGCAAGTACTTAAGGAACCCAAGGGAGGCCAAAACCCGACCTAGCAGGAATCGGAGACCCAAAAATACAAGGAATTACAAAGTCAGAAATCACCTGATCATCAAGCATGCCGGAACCGGCTCGCATGAAGACTGCGACACTGCAGTTTGGGAATTGTCGAAGTGCTTGAAATAGACTGTGGTAGTGGCGAGAAAGCTCTGACAGCATTGCTTTGCTCTTATGAGCAGAGGCGTTTGTCCTTCGACGGAGACGGAGAGGCTGCGCATGCAGATGGTGCTGTGGACGTTGCTCTGCGCGACTGTAGAGACGCTCGAGCCATCGAGAAGCAGAACTCAACATGAGCCCAGGTGTGGCGACGCCGTGCAAGGCGGCATGTCCTTTGCAGGCACCGATGTGGAACCAGTCTTCGTCCTCGAGGAGCGGAGAAGTACAAGCGTGAGAGCCTTGCCGTGCTCTCCTTTTTTGTCCACTGTCTCGCAGTTGGGCGGCACTGCTCTTCGTGCCGGTGTCCTTGGCCTCAGCCCATCTCAGCTTTCAGTGCTTTTGAGATCTTTTGAGTGTGAAACTGAGAAAAGGTGCCACGCGAGAACTTCCGCGTCCTCCACGGACCTTCGGCCTCGGCCATCGCGTCGGCGCCCAGCTGCGAGGCCCTCCGCGGTGCCCGGGCTCTGCCACCATCTCCTTCTCTCTCTGAGAGGTGCCGTGCCCGCCCCTGACCTTGGGCAGCCGACTCCAACCAGGCCGCCGGCCACAGATCAAGGAACCTCATCGGCCTTATCTCCCGTTGAGCGCGGCCCAGGCTTCTGGAAGAGGATCCTGACGGATGATGCGTGCGACCGGCCTGCTTTCGCTTGACTCTTGACCACTTGAATCCTCTTGACCCACGTCTTCGATCATGTTCTAGGAAGGGGCTCTTGGCAGAGCAGCACTTGCGGATCGAGGCGAGTGGCCCTGGGCCGTGTCAGCCGTGTAGAGAGTGCAAGCGCCGCAGTCCAAGGTGGAAGAGAGCCTCGAGGGCCCGGAGCAAAAACGCTTCTACTTGAGGTGCCAGGAACTTGGCTGTGATGCCCCTGAGTGGAGGCCCCCCTTTTGTTGCAGGAATCTCAGCGAGCTGTCTCTCAAAGTGGAGGGAGCGCCGGAGGCGAGGGAAAACGGAGCAGACCTTTTGGAGCCTTCTTGGGTTTTCTGGTTTAACCTCTCATGAGCAGGGGCATGACAGCACGCGCCTGCCGGACGAGGAGCGGTTGAGGCGATTCAGGAAGATACTCGCAGGAAGAGGGAGTTGGACTCAGTAAGCTTTCCTTCTCAAAGAGGACGGGCGATGGCAGCTGCACGACGGAGACAGTGTTCTCCTGAACCTGTGCAAGGTCCACCAGAGAATTGGGAGTGCAGCGGGGCCAGTCTCTCATGAGCTTCCCGTCTCTTGGCCCTGGCTGTCGCGTGCCAGGGTAGCTCCATGTGGATGTGTTTCCGGGAGTTCGCCGCCAAGGCACGAAGCTGCAGCGAGCGAGGCTTTGCTTTGAAGCTTCGAAGAGCTTCCACGCGAGGCTCAGCCGATCTGAGATGCGTCCAGGATCCGTGACTTAGCATAGCTTAGTCACGAGGCGTCGCTGGGACTCAGAGTGCGAGCAAAAGGCCTCTTTGCACTTGACTTGCAACCTTTACTACGGCCCTTAGACTCTTAGACTGACGACGAACGAGGGGGCACATGCATGTGGGTAGTTTTCTAAATTAGGGTCCCTTTTGGGGTCCTTTCATAAGGGTGCCGCGCGGACCTACAAAAGGGACCCTAATTTAGAGAACTACCCATGTGCTGCGACGTGACGCTCTTGCCGTCTCGTCGCTGGAGGGAATCCCGCTCGCACAGGCGCGCGCAGACGCAAAGCTGCGCGGTATGCGGGCCGTCCCCTTTGCACACGCGCGCAGTGCTTGGGTGTGATGCTGGGCTGCTGTGGTGTGCAGTCGGTCGCTTTGCCGCAATGCGCACCAAGGATGCCGCGTAGCCGTGCACCGTCGAAGACCGAGAACCTCGCCCAATGAGTGGCGGCATAAATCGACGCCTTGGGCCCGTACGACGACGACAAACGATTGTTACTGCTGCTACGACGACGACGACGACGACGACGACGACGACGACTACTACTACTACTACTAACACTAATCATAATTGTTCACGTTCTGGACCTCCGTCCTCGTTGTTACCCAAAGTAGCAGTCTCACCAGGAGGTAGGTCATGTACATTGGGATTGGTAAATCCAGGATCGCTCTCACTAGTCATCCTTGCACGAAAGCCTCGAAATCTTAGTCGAAGGTCAGTCACAGATGGCAAACCATGGAAGCGAACGCAGGCATCTAACTTTTTGCGGGCACACAACGAGAATCTGAGCTGCCTCTTACAGCTACACTGTCATGGCCTATGACTTGTGTTCCTAAGGCGTGGAGCCCTCCATGAACCTTCTGAGCCCATGCACTCCAGCAGGTATGTGAGTAAACTTCCCTGGGATTTCACACTCCTCCTTGGATCAGCCGTTAGGCGCCAACCACAAACTCAAACAATATGCTGCTTCAAACAGTACTGGCAAATTGCCTTGGCTCTGACATTCGCGGCCCGTCTGAGTCCCCGACAGTCCTGATCCCGATGAACACAATCACCCCCTTGTGACGCATACACATATTCACTAGGGTCTAGAACGATAACTGGATCGGTCTGCGGGGACTGCGACGTCATGCTACCTCTACCGATGCTTGGTCCCCTCGTTGGAACCTCAACCCTGTACTCACCCTGTCCAGCAGTCCGGGAAGAGTGCATGGCAAGCCTTGCAGGATCCCCTTCTCGGACATGGATAGTCCTGGGGTTGGTCGTGGGAGGCACTGGAGCTTCCTTAGTGACGACCTCTGTCTGGCCAAGAAAGGCGGTAGCACGTTGAATCTCGTCGGTTGCACCTGCCGGCCTAACATGCATGTTGAAGTCTCCATAGACTACTGTAGGTCGGTGCTCAACGTGGCGCTCTGCCCCCTGAGACGATTCTGACACGCATTTGTTCCTCCCCTTTCGGCGCCTTGCAGTGCCTTCGTTTCCTGTAGGGCTCTCACTGAGAGCGCTGTCAATTGCAGCCGCTACCCGCTCCTGGAGCTGCTTGCTCCTTCGTTCCTGCTTGTGTGTTGACACAGATCTGACCTTTGGCACATCACCGTTCCTTTTTCGACACGGCGCACCGCTGGCCTCCCACACAAACAACGTTGACAACACAACCAGAAGGGTTAGCACCGCGAGCTCCCATGGCCACTCAATGGACACACTTGGCCCAACACCTTCCTCCTCTGAAGATACACCTGCACAGATGCAAGCCTGCAGCATTGCCAACAAACCGGTCAGGCATGAAGACGGAACCGGGGAAACTGCCCTCACACTTGGATGCCCCTCCTCCTCAATTGGCCTCTCTTCGGTTCCCAAATGCAGCAAGTCACACAGGAAACGCATCCGTGCTGAAGGAAGAACCTTTGTTAACAGATCCGCCTTCTGCCATTCTCCAGGGCAATGCTTCACCACCCACCCTGACTGAACAAGCTGCTGAATCTTCGAGCCACGGACTTTGAGGTGACGCGTCCGCTGGTTGCCTGCACCTGAAATGAACGAAATGGAGGCGGTGTTGTCCAACAACAACTCTGCAGTGGAGCAAGGCAGGCCCAAATCGGCCAACACTGTCATCAGGGACTCTGTGTACATACAGCCCTCCACTGCTTGAATCAACTCTGATTCCGAGGAGCTGAGCGCGATCAGCGTCTGGCGGGATGCTTTCCATAGCACCGGAGCCCCGAACACTTCGATGACGTGTCCTCCAAACGAATGACGACCTTGAGGAGAAAAAGACGCATCTGTAAACACCATCACGGGTGCTACGTTCTCGTCAGGGCGCAAGTGCAGACGATAGTCCTTGGTTTGATGTAAGTAGGCCAAGATTCGTCTCCCTATCGCCAGGGCCCCACGGGAGTCCTTCGAAACTCTGGAGCAAAGGGCAGTCGTTGCAAAGTAGATATCGATGCGACTGCATTGTGCAAGCCACAAGCATTCACCCGCGACCTTCTGGGCTGTCCGTGTTGTGGCTTCGTCAAACGGCTCCACCGTTTCTGTCTCGCTCATCAACAGCTCTCGGGGGCACACGATCTTGGACTTATCCCCTTCACCCAAATTGTAGGACCGCACAAGCTCCTCAACGTAGGCCTCCTGGTCCAAGCTGAAGTGCCCATCTGCGTAGTTACGCAGCTGCATTCCCAAGTCACTCAACCCATCCGTTTCCCAGCCTGCTCCGTCGATTAACCACTGGTGCAATGCCTGTGCCGTTGCCTTGTCGCTCAGGATCAAGAAGTCGTCGACGTAGGCCTGAAGTGAACCACCCTTCATGATCTTCCAGATGGATGGGTCCGACTTTCCTTGCTCCAAATGACAACCGACAAACTTTGCCGTGAGTAGCTTCGAGTCTCGGTGGTCTGACCGCCAAGCTGGGGCCTCTTTGAAGCCATAGAGTACCATTCCCAGGGAATAGTACTCGTCAGCTCGTGCCAGTCCCAAGTCTACCGCCCGCACAACCTCCGCCGGAGCTCCGGCTGCGTAGAGGGAATTTGCATCCACATGGGTAGCCTGGTTTCCACACCCCACCAGCCTGCATTTGCGCTTATACAAGCCGTCGGCTGGTCCCCCTGGTGTCTTTGCAGTGAACACCCCCTTCAAAGAGATGACAGAGGTGCTGGGGTTGGCAATCCGGTTCTGCGCATCCTGGCCAAAGTGGCTCACCAACACCCCTTGGCCTTTGAGCGAGTTGAGCTCCTGTTCAATGGCAGGCCGCCACCGTTCCAAATTAGCTCACACTTCTTCCTGCGACGCTGTATGCGTAACGCTCAGTGGCTCTGTCAAACTGCCCAACACACCTTCCAAGTCCCGGGTAGTCGTTGCTTCTGTCTTGCGCACTGCAACCTCTTCTGAAGGCCTGGGCACATCTGCAACTGGGACCTGTTTAATAAACGTAGGATTGGGAAGCGGAATGGGCAACCTTGGGACCTCGTGGCACACCTTGCCTTCGCCTAATGCACCTGAGGGGTCTGCAACTGCCCTGACCTCGGGAGGTTCTGGCCCTGGCGCCTGGAGCACTGGTCATTGCGTCTCCTCTGGAGGGAGCGGCTCATGAATCAACTCCACCCTCAAAATGACCATCTCAACAACATCTCTGATCATGTCTCTAATTGCAAAGATGCGCATCCTGTCTGGGAAGGGGGAATCATCCACATAGCCATCGTCCGAAAACTCGAACACGTACGCAAGGAGACGCCTGCCGTCAGCAGTGGGCAAATACAGCTCGGGATCCCGACTCCAGTTGCTCTGCTGAAACACCGTTGCCATCAGCAAGTGATGAGGAATTGGCGCAGACAAGGGGTCTATGGCAGGGTCTTCATCGTGTCCACCTAACACCCGCTGCCATCTTGCAAACCCTTGCTCAGAGGCTTCTTCATCAGGCTCATACAAACCTGCCCATTCTTGCGCATTCATCCTGGCGTACCTTACATGCAGACCTGCGCGACCTGGTGGAGGGGGAGGCCTAGGCTTTTCCACAGGAAGCCTTTGTGGATTGGGGCCGACTAGCTTGCAAACAGCAGGCACTATATCAGGGCCCAACCGAAATCCTATGGACCTCAGGAACTCCCTTTTGACCTCTGGCAGCTTAGACGTAACTAGTGGGCTATACCCTGCTATCACCCAATTGGTAGCTGGCAACAGGGCATGTCTCTGCTTTGGGTTGCAGGCCGTAACCTCGTGGCCCAGGGGCACCAATCTTCCGGGGAATTCTCTTATTTCGGCGTCGCTGCACACCTGAACGGGCTGACCCTGGCACTCCTCCTTAGTCTGCTCTTCGAGCCATAAGGGCCGAGTGGTGATCTGAGTGACGAAGTTGGAAGAGCCCGGCTCGTTGCGCACGTCACGGTGCACTGACACCTTGTCCGCCACGACCACCATCAACGCTGTCCATGTGGTGTCAGCACCTTGCCCCTTGACATGTTGACGCAATTATTCATTCAAGTAGCGACACACATTTGGATGAGCAATGCTCGCTCGCGTAACTCCTCTCAGCCCCCCATAACTATATGCCCCCAAAATCACTGAGAACACGATGCTGCCTTTTCGTAGACTTGGCCTCACCACCAAACGCAACTTCAAGCAACCTCCCACAATCATCCGGAGAGAAAGCCTGAGCCTCAGGCAAAGCCTCAGCCAAATTCCCGGCGGGCATCATCACAGAGTGGACTGCACGCTTCCCTGTAACACGGCGACTGGGGCCAGGAGCAGGCTCAGGATCCGGTGGCTCTGACTCTACGGGATTGGCAACAAGTTCCGTATCATCCTCAAACACTGCTTCCGGATCCACTAAATCCTCAACACATCTCACGTTCTTGGCCACCAAGTAACCTCCTGACGCTGCCCGCATCAACACATGGCTTCCCTCGGTTCTGCGCGTGGGACATAGGTACACAGCATGCTCCCATCTGATGAAGGGGCGTTTGGACTTGCCCATTGGATGCTTACTCTTGAAGATCACCTTCTGTCCAAACCTTGGCATGGGACCTACCCCTTGCAACAACCTGTGCCTGTGCTCAGCGCATGCAAATGCCATTGCGGCGGGCCCTCCCAGCCCGGATGAGGCTAGGTGCAACCTTGCCCTGGCTTTAACCCAACCGACCAACCTTTCGGCCAACCCATTTGACTTCGGGTCATCAACTTAGCGCGGTCCGTGTGTGCGACCTTCACAGGGAAGCCTAGCCTGTGGCACTCAGTGACAACCTCCTGCAACCCAGCTAAAATCTATGGCCCTTTCCGCGACTTCAACGGCACCACAAACCTCAGCACCTTGTTGGCACCTGTGAACACCGTCTTTGAGAGCTCATCGTCAAAGGCTTCATCCGTGAGCATACAGATGCCTTGGCCATCTTCCCACGCATCTGTCTCCAACGATGGGGGCTGCACATACTCGCCCTCTTCACCGCCTACGCCTCCTGCCTCGGCTTCATCATCATCCTGAGCTTCATCAGGCAAACCATCATCATCAGGAACCTCACAAACCACCCCGGCTCGGAGCCCTGCTCCTCCTCTGACTCAGAACCTTCGCCATCAACCTTGCTCACCCCTGCGGTGGGTTCAAGATCTGCATGAATCATGAAGCCAACTAGCTTCCGAACTGGCATCATCATCCTTCAAGGCATCAGGGTTCTTTGCCGGGAGAGAAGACGGCACCGTGCCTGTTGATTTCTCCTCTTTGGGCCCTGTGGTATCCCTCTCCTCATGTGGGGGCAGGACAAGCTCCGGGACACGAAGCCCAGCCACCAGGGCATATTTTTTTTGCCTTTTCGCGACTGCGGGAGGAGTGCCAGCTCCGTCTACAATTAGCCACCTACTGCCTACTACTGCCTACTGCCGGTCGCCGCGAAAGTCGGCCAAGACCTCGTGCAGCTCTGGTAGGCGCGCTGGGAGGCGACAGCCAAGAGCCCCGACCAGCGCGAGATCCAGGCGACAGTTGCGGAGGGCTGCAGGTGCGCTGGGACGGCGGCGGCGCGGTGTCGTGCGAGGAGGCGCAGCAGCTGTACGGTCTCGGCACCGAACCTGCCGCCAACCTCAAGCCCAACGACAACCAGGCGGCAGCGCCGTGCATGTTCGAGCTCGGGGTAGGTCTGATGCCGCTTGCGCCGGGCCGCTGCGGTGACGGCGATCCCCGGCTGGACATCGGCATGCGGGTGGGGCTCGCCGCGCCATGTGAGGGGGCAGACGATGGTGGCGTCCAGGGCGAGCTGTGAGCCATGCCACAAAGGGAGGCCGTTGGCGACGACCTCAATGCGCCGTTCGTCCGAGACCGGCACGTCGAGGTTCACGTCGGCAAGCCGGACATGGCGGGCGACCCGGGTCACGACAGACTCGCGCGACGGCATGCTCAAGGGGCAGCGCGCGCGTGGCGAGGACACCCGAGGTAGCACAGGCTGAACGCTGGTCGCCGAGTGGATCAAGCTCACCATGACAGCGGCATCGACAGCAGCAGCGCTCGAGACGCGGGTGTGAGGTCAGTAAGGTGTGTCTCATAGGCGCGCTCATCGCAGGCGCGGGCAGCGAGGCGCTGCCAACCTTTGAAAGGCCAAGGATCGCGGGAGCAGTGCCAGCGCATACGGCTGCCGCAGATGCGCCTGCGCAAGGACGGCGGCTGCGGTCGAGGGGAGGGCACTGTCGCCGCGGAGGGCGCCAAGCAGCCGGTCCGCCGCAGCCGGGGCACGGGCATGGATGACAGGCAAGGTGTCGCACCACGAGGCCCAATGCGCGGCAAAGCGATCGGAGGTGGCAGAGTGGAGGCCAAGACCCCCGAACCGCTGCGTGAGCTGGGCAGTGCGGAGGCGGCTGCGTGCTCAAGGAGTGTGGCCAGGCAGTGGGCGACAGCTGCATAAGTGGCGGTGAGGTGCGGGGGCAGGATGCGCAGCAGGTAGTTGGCAGCGCAGGACTGTAGCAACAGCCAAGCGGCCTGCAAGTCGTCGAGCCCAGGGAGACGCTGGAGAAGTCGGTCGTGGTCCTCGCGCTTGCGCTCAAGGTGCCTGGCAACAAAA